ATTTGGTCAATAACAAAAGTTTCTCAATACTTTGTTATATACCCTTTGTTGGCAATGACACAGGTCAAACGTTTTCTGTAAGTCTTCAAAAGGTTTTCACACACTGTTGCTGGTATTTTGGCCCATTCCTCCATGCAGATCTCCTCTAGAGCAGTGATGTTTTGGGGCTGTCGCTGGGTAACACAGACTTTCAACTCCCTCCAAAGATTTTCTATGGGGTTGAGATCTGGAGACTGGCTAGGCCACTCCAGGACCTTGAAATGTTTCTTACGAAGCCACTCCTTCGTTGCCCGGGCGGTGTGTTTGGGATCATTGTCATGCTGAAAGACCCAGCCACGTTTCATCTTCAATGCCCTTGCTGATGGAAGAAGGTTTTCACTCAAAATCTCACGATACATGGCCCCATTCATTCTTTCCTTTACACGGATCAGTCGTCCTGGTCCCTTTGCAGAAAAACAGCCCCAAAGCATGATGTTTCCACCCCCATGCTTCACAGTAGGTATGGTGTTCTTTGGATGCAACTCAGCATTCTTTGTCCTCCAAACACAACGAGTTGAGTTTTTACCAAAAAGTTCTATTTTGGTTTCATCTGACCATATGACATTCTCCCAATCCTCTTCTGGATCATCCAAATGCACTCTAGCAAACTTCAGACGGGCCTGGACATGTACTGGCTTAAGCAGGGGGACACGTCTGGCACTGCAGGATTTGAGTCCCTGGCGGCGTAGTGTGTTACTGATGGTAGGCTTTGTTACTTTGGTCCCAGCTCTCTGCAGGTCATTCACTAGGTCCCCCCGTGTGGTTCTGGGATTTTTGCTCACCGTTCTTGTGATCATTTTGACCCCACGGGGTGAGATCTTGCGTGGAGCCCCAGATCGAGGGAGACTATCAGTGGTCTTGTATGTCTTCCATTTCCAAATAATTGCTCCCACAGTTGATTTCTTCAAACCAAGCTGCTTACCTATTGCAGATTCAGTCTTCCCAGCCTGGTGCAGGTCTACAATTTTGTTTCTGGTGTCCTTTGACTGCTCTTTGGTCTTGGCCATAGTGGAGTTTGGAGTGTGACTGTTTGAGGTTGTGGACAGGTGTCTTTTATACTGATAACAAGTTCAAACAGGTGCCATTAATACAGGTAACGGGTGGAGGACAGAGGAGCCTCTTAAAGAAGAAGTTACAGGTCTGTGAGAGCCAGAAATCTTGCTTGTTTGTAGGTGACCAAATACTTATTTTCCACCATAATTTGCAAATAAATTCATAAAAAATCCTACAATGCGATTTTCTGAAAAAAAAAATCTCAATTTGTCTGTCATAGTTGACGTGTACCTATGATGAAAATTACAGGCCTCTCTCATCTTTTTAAGTGGGAGAACTTGCACAATTGGTGGCTGACTAAATCCTTTTTTTCCCCACTGTATGTATCACATATATCAATAGTCAATTGTATATCTATACTACCAGAAATCCCTGTTGATACATTTGATACATTTAATATATTTTGCCATTACAAAATTATGTTCTTAATGTATTGCATAATGAAATGTCAAGATTAAATATGACCCTGATTTTGGATTTGGATTCAATACATTCTCATCACTTCTAGAAGGAGTGATCTCTTTGCCTCTCAGGAAAGGCTTGTTTGCCCGGGGACTAGATGGAGCCCTTCAAGTACCCAGACACCAGGGCCTGAAAAGTGGGCTGTGGGTGAACGGTGAACTGCTTTGGGAACAATTCATCAAACATGCAGTGGAAAACTAGGAGTCAACAAACGTTTCTGTAATTTTAGCGTGTGACGAAGAGCCCGAACATCGCTGATGTTATAGCTGCGTGATATTATATGAAGAGCGACTAGCTGCACCTGTGCCATATTACAGCTTCAGAGCTGACTGTCTTTGATTGACTGGTTCAATATTGACTCAGACCTGCATTTGATTAAGGGTTAGGGTTAGGTTGCTCAGTTCATTGTACTGTGTAGAAAGTTTAGCCGGTTAACAACGCTAGGCTTTTTTGTTGTTGAGGAAACTAAATTGTCTGTTGGAAGCCAATTGTATGAAAAGAACAATAAAACCATATTTGTTTGCTGAGGGAAATGGAGAGGATATTAGCTTTGTGGAACAACATACAGTACACACATGTGGCTTGAGGAGTTAGAGAGTGGTCAGAGAGGGGTTAGAGAGGAGTTAGAGAGGGTCAGAGAGGGGTTAGAGAGGAGTTAGAGAGGGGTTAGAGAGGGGTCAGAGAGGGGTTAGAGAGGAGTTAGAGAGGGGTTAGAGAGGGGTTAGAGAGGAGTTAGAGAGGGGTTAGAGAGGGGTTAGAGAGGAGTTAGAGAGGGGTCAGAGAGGGGTCAGAGAGGGGTCAGAGAGGGGTCAGAGAGGGGTCAGAGAGGGGTCAGAGAGGAGTTAGAGAGGAGTTAGAGAGGGGTCAGAGAGGGGTTAGAGAGGAGTTAGAGAGGGGTTAGAGAGGGTTAGAGAGGGGTCAGAGAGGTAGAGAGTGTCAGAGAGGAGTAGAGAGGAGTCAGAGAGGGGTTAGAGAGGGTAAGGGTCAGAGAGGTTGAGTTAGAGGGGTTAGAGAGGAGTTAGAGAGGGGTAGAGAGGGGTCAGAGAGGGTTAGAGAGGGGTCAGAGAGGAGTTAGAGAGGGGTCAGAGAGGAGTTAGAGAGGGGTCAGAGAGGGGTTCAGAGGAGTTAGGAGGTTAGAGAGGGTTCAGAGAGGGTTAGAGAGGGGTCAGAGAGGAGTAGAGAGGGTCAGAGAGGGGTTAGAGAGGAGTCAGAGAGGGGTCAGAGAGGAGTTAGAGAGGGTCAGAGAGGGTCAGAGAGGGGATTAGAGAGGGTCAGAGAGGGTTAGAGAGTAGAGGGTCGAGAGGTAGTTAGAGAGGGGTCGAGAGAGGGTTAGAGAGAGAGTCAGAGAGGGGTCAGAGAGGAGTTAGAGAGGTGTCAGAGAGGAGTCAGAGAGGGGTTTAGAGAGGAGTCAGAGAGGGGTCAGAGAGGGGTTTAGAGAGGAGTCAGAGAGGGGTCAGAGAGGAGTTAGAGAGGGTCAGAGAGGAGTCAGAGAGGGGATTAGAGAGGAGTCAGAGAGGGGTTTAGAGCGGAGTCAGAGAGGGGTCAGAGAGGAGTTAGAGAGGGTCAGAGAGGAGTCAGAGAGGGGATTAGAGAGGAGTCAGAGAGGGGTCAGAGAGGGGTTAGAGAGGGGTTAGAGAGGAGTTAGAGAGGGTCAGAGAGGAGTCAGAGACGGGTTTAGAGAGGGGTCAGAGAGGAGTTAGAGAGGGTCAGAGAGGAGTTAGAGAGGGTCAGAGAGGAGTTAGAGAGGGTCAGAGAGGAGTCAGAGAGGGGTCAGAGAGGGGTCAGAGAGGGGTTAGATGGAGAAAGAGGAAGAACAGCAAATAGAACAAAAGGTACAGTTGAAGTCAGAGTTTATAGTCGGGTTTATGTTCAGTAGACTATTGGTTGTTGAATAAATGCAGGTGATTGGTAGGGCATTGTTGTATCGGCCTACTTCCTTTCTTGAGCTAATTGTATAACGTACTCCTGAAACAGAAAATGTTTCAATTTTAATGTCATATTGATCTCCAAACGTCCAGAGAACATCCCTACAATGTCCAGAGAACATCCCTACAACGTCCATGACTCAGCTATACAGCATGTGATCATAAAGTTATTAATGGCTGTCACCTCAGTAAATATGTAATTAGTAATCGCCCTGATTCGACCATGACTTTTGTTGAGTCACCAACAGATACGGAGTTGTGTGATACTTGCTGAAGAGGAAGCAGACAGAGGAAGAGTGGTGAAATTGGAATTGGAAGCGTTAGTTGAGGTCCATTATTCTCTATTTTGACTGTCTGAAAACAAAAGACTAATTGACTATTGCCTGAGATACTGTTTCAAACAGTTGAGAATCAAATTGTTGTAATTTTGTTTAAAATCTCCTGCACACTCTCGGTCGCAACCTTGAACAAACAATGTGTACATGGAGGGAACCCCCTTTGGAGCACTTCTTAGTCTTAGTACAAAACACATCCTCATCCTCTTTGACTATACCAACTAACCCTATTCCACTATATTAGATAATTCCAGCTGTGCATTCGAAACACAGAGAAAGGTAAAATCTCAGTGTCCAGCGTCAGTTGGGTTTCATAGAAAAGCCATGCGTGGGGGGTCGTAAACCGCATCTCACCTAGCTTCCTGATTGACCAGCTTAAAAGGGGATCTTATCCAATAGGAAGTGGCCCTGGAAGTGGAATCAAGCTGTCTGACCTGTGGGTGAACCTAGCAGTGGGTGCTGCCAGGCAAAAAGTACCCGGAAGCACTGGTCTGTAGCCAGCTTTTTAAATATTGTTGTGATGGTTTTAGTTAGTGTTGTGGTTGGTAAGGCAGGTCCAGGATCAGATCAGTAACCTATAGGTAGCTTGGTTATTAGGATATGGCATGGGCTGTCACAGGGGTAGTGAGGATAGTTGTGGGCGTTGGACTCTGTTAACCTGAAGGGGTCCTAAATAAATCTCAGATACTGCTGAGACAGCAATACTGACTTGATTCCATTATAACCATGGGCAACACAGGAAATGGCTGATTAAAAAGACAGTTCACCCAAATTACAAAATGACTTAGTCTTTGGACAAGGAGAGACACAATCCACGCTTTGGTATTGTTTAACTGGTTGCTGTCAACAAATGGTTGACCACAGAGAATGGTTGACCACAGAGAATGGTTGACCACAGAGAATGGTTGACCAAGGAGGTTCCCCACTGATCCTCAGACTAACTTTTCTAGTATGTTATTGAGGTTTTGTTCGAGCAAGGGTGTCTTACCAAGAATTAAAGGTCTTGAGACGGAGTAGGATCTGGCGTCATAGAATCATCGTTCTTCCTTTCTTACCAACTGTAAATATCTATGTAATTAGGGCTAACATGATGTCGCGATAATATTAATTTCTGATCCTTTTACAATCAAAAGTCTCCATAGTGACTGACTTTATAAAGACTTCAGATCTGTGTGTTAAATCCAACATGATCTCCCGAGCTAGAGAACAGGCTGCATGGAGGCTCAGGTCTGAAAAATGGGGGCAATACTTGACTGGCCTGTGATTCAGGATATGTGCTGTGTACTTTTCCCTCAGGGTTAGTGCCTATCTATAATACTGTTAGACCATGCACATTTTATGAAATGTCTAACAGATGCCACCCTTTACCTTTCTCAACAATAACATCTGAAAAGTTGTACTGAAAAATTGCACAATTAAAGCAAACATTACGTATGTCTTCAGGCTTCCATTAAAGAGATACACAACTTCCTTTCGGATTATGGATGAACTATGCCCCTTTAAGCCTCCCCAAGAGGCTAGAAGCTCTTGATTAAGTCACCACTCTTATTAAAAAGGGATCCAAAAGGATTCTCCTATGGGGATAGCTGAAGAACCCTTTTAGGTTCTAGATAGCACCTTTTTTTCTAAGAGTGTAGGTGTTGAACTAAGGTTGCTATTGTAATTTAACAAGAAGATCTACTTTTTTTATTACCATTTTTAATTAGCTTTTTATTTTTTATTTTTTTAATCCTCACAAGCTGTTAAACATTTAATAACATTTGTATGGCCTTAGGTAGTGATTTACTTTTTCAACCAATGGATGGCTTATTATAACTGGCCAATTGATTGGTTGATGAATTTATATACTGTACTTGATTGGCTGTTACTATTTTGGGGGTGGTTGTTATGCTGATAGCTGTGGAGCAGAGACACAGTGTCTGCATGCACATTGACTTCCAACATGTTGAGCACTCTGGACAGTAGTTTGGAATTATGGAAAACAGATGTGGGGCCTCCCGGGTTCTGCCCTGTACAGTTCTAACAGGCCTTGCATCAGGAGAGGAGGCAGCTATCTACGCGCCCCCAGCGTGGAAAATATTCTTGCTGTTATGAAATTGTGTTTTGCATGTTTTGTGGTGGTGAAGCCATTTGAATGTAATCAGCTAGGAATGGGGATGACTTATTTTTGTTTCTCTGAGTGTGTGTGTGTGTGTGTGTGTGTGTGTGTGTGTGTGTGTGTGTGTGTGTGTGTGTGTCTGTGTGTGTGCGTGTGTCTAATCAAATCAAATGTTATTGGTCACATACAGTGGGGGTAAAAAGTATTTAGTCAGCCACCAATTGTGCAAGTTCTCCCACATAAAAAGATGAGAGAGGCCTGTAATTTTCATCATAGGTACACGTCAACTATGACAGACAAAATGAGAAAATAAAATCCAGAAAATCACATTGTAGGATTTTTAATGAATTTATTTGCGAATTATGGTGGAAAATAAGTATTTGGTCAATAACAAAAGTTTCTCAGTACTTTGTTATATACCCTTTGTTGGCAATGACACAGGTCAAACGTTTTCTGTAAGTCTTCACAAGGTTTTCACACACTGTTGCTGGTATTTTGGCCCATTCCTCCATGCAGATCTCCTCTAGAGCAGTGATGTTTTGGGGCTGTCGCTGGGCAACACGGACTTTCAACTCCCTCCAAAGATTTTCTATGGGGTTGAGATCTGGAGACTGGCTAGGCCACTCCAGGACCTTGAAATGCTTCTTACGAAGCCACTCCTTCGTTGCCCGGGCGGTGTGTTTGGGATCAATGTCATGCTGAAAGACCCAGCCACGTTTCATCTTCAATGCCCTTGCTGATGGAAGGAGGTTTTCACTCAAAATCTCACGATACATGGCCCCATTCATTCTTTCCTTTACACGGATCAGTCGTCCTGGTCCCTTTGCAGAAAAACAGCCCCAAAGCATGATGTTTCCACCCCCATGCTTCACAGTAGGTATGGTGTTCTTTGGATGCAACTGAGCATTCTTTGTCCTCCAAACACGACGAGTTGAGTTTTTACCAAAAAGTTATATTTTGGTTTCATCTGACCATATGACATTCTCCCAATCCTCTTCTGGATCATCCAAATGCACTCTAGCAAACTTCAGACAGGCCTGGACATGTACTGGCTTAAGCAGGGGGACACGTCTGGCACTGCAGGATTTGAGTCCCTGGCGGCGTAGTGTGTTACTGATGGTAGGCTTTGTTACTTTGGTCTCAGCTCTCTGCAGGTCATTCACTAGGTCCTAATAATTGCTCCCACAGTTGATTTCTTCAAACCAAGCTGCTTATCTATTGCAGATTCAGTCTTCCCAGGCTGGTGCAGGTCTACAATTTTGTTTCTGGTGTCCTTTGACAGCTCTTTGGTCTTGGCCATAGTGGAGTTTGGAGTGTGACTGTTTGAGGTTGTGGACAGGTGTCTTTTATACTGATAACAAGTTCAAACAGGTGCCATTAATACAGGTAACGAGTGGAGGACAGAGGAGCCTACAGGTCTGTGATAGCCAGAAATCTTGCTTGTTTGTAGGTGACCAAAGACTTATTTTCCACCATTCATTAAAAATCCTACAATGTGATTTTCTGGAGAAAAAAAATCTCAATTTGTCTGTCATAGTTGACGTGTACCTATGATGAAAATTACAGGCCTCTCTCATCTTTTAAAGTGGGAGAACTTGCACAATTGGTGGCTGACTAAATACATTTTTTCCCCACTGTACACATATTTAGATGTTATTTCGGGTGTAGCGCAATGCTTGTGTTCCTAGCTCCACAACAATACACACAATACAATACACAGTGCATTCGAAAAGTATTCAGACCCCTTGACTTTTTCCACATTTTGTTATGTCACAGCCTTATTCTAAAATGGATAAAAAGAATGATCCTCATCAATCTACAAACAATACCTCGTAATGACAAAGCAAAAACAGGTTTTTATACATTTTTGCAAATTTATAAAAAATACAAAACTACATTAAATTACATTTACATAAGTATTCAGTGCCTTTACTCAGTACTTTGTTGAAGCACCTTTGGCAGCGATTACAGCCTTGAGTCTTCTTGGGTATGACGCTACAAGCTTGGCACACCTGTATTTGGGGAGTTTCTCCCATTCTTCTTCTCTGCAGATTCTCTCAAGCTCTGTCAGGTTGGATGGGGAGCGTCGCTGCACAGCTATTTTCAGGTCTCTCCAGAAATGTTAGATCGGGTTCAAGTCCGGGCTCTGGCTGGGCCACTCAAGGACATTCAGAGACTTGTCCTGAAGCCACTCCTGCATTGTCTTGGCTGTGTGCTTAGGGTCGTTGTCCTGTTGGAAGGTGAACCCTCTCCACAGTCTAAGGTCCTGAGTGCTCTGGAGCAGGTTTTCATCAAGGATCTCTCTGTACTTTGCTCCGTTCAGCTTTCCATCGATCCTGACTTGTCTCCCAGTCCCTGCCGCTGAAAAACATCCCCACAGCATGATGCTGCCACCACCATGCTTCACCGTAGGGATGGTGCCAGGTTTGCTCCAGGCGTGACGCTTGGCTTTCAGGCCAAAGACTTCAATCTTGGTTTCATTAGACCAGAGAATCTTGTTTCTCATAGTCTGAGAGTCCTTTAGGTGCCTTTTGGCAAACTCCAAGCGGGCTGTCATGTGCCTTTTACTGAGGAGTGGCTTCCATGTGGCCACTCTACCATAAAAGCCTGATTGGTGGAGTGCTGCAGAGATGGTTGTCCTTCTGGAAGGTTCTCCCATCTCCACAGAGGAACTCTGGAGCTCTGTCAGAGTGACCATCAGGTTCTTGGTCACCTCCCTGACCAAGGCCCTTCTCCCCCAAATGCTCAGTTTGGCCGGGCAGCCAGCTCTAGGAAGAGTCTTAGTGATTCCAAACTTCCATTGAAGAATAATGGAGGCCACTGTGTTCTTGGGGACCTTCAATGCTGCAGAAATGTTTTGCTACCCTTCCCCAGATCTGTGCCTCGACACAATCCTGTCTCAGAGCTCTACCGATAATACCTTTGACTTCATGGCTTGGTTTTTGCTCTGACATGCAGTGTCAACTGTGGGACCTTATATAGACAGGTGTGTGCCTTTCTAAATCATGTCCAATCAATTGAATTTACCACAGATAGACTCCAATGAAGTTGTAGAAACATCTCAAGGATGATCAATGGAAACAGGATGCACCTAAGCTCAATTTCGAGTCTCACATCAAAGGGTCTGAATACTTATGTAAATAAGGTATTTCTGTTATTTATTTATTTAAAATTAAAAACCTGTTTTCGCTTTGTCATTATGGAGTATTGTGTGTAGATTAATGAGGAAAACAAGCAATTTAATCCATTTTAGAAAAAGGGAAGGAGTCTGAATAATTGCATGTGGTATATCTGAAGAATAGTATATGTACAGCAATAGTTAAATAGAATAGGCCTTGACTAGAATACAGTATATACATATGAAATGGGTAAAACAGTATGTAAACAATATTAAAGTGACCAGTGTTCCATGACTATGTACACTGAACAAAAATATAAATGCAACATGCCACAATTACAAGTCATATAAGGAAATCAGTCAATTTAAATAAATAAATTAGGTCCTAATCTATGGATTTCACATGACTGGGAATACACATATGGATCTGTTGGTCACAGATACTTTTTTTTTTTTATGTAGGGGCCTGGATCAGAAAACGAATCAGTATCTGGTGTGACCACCATTTGCCTCATGCAGCGCGACGCATCTCCTTTGCATAGAGTTGATCAGGCTTTTGATTGTGGCCTGTGGAATGTTGTCCCACTCCTCTTCAATGGCTGTGTGAGGTTGCTGGATATTGGCGGGATCTGGAACACGCTGTCGTACACGTTGATCCAGAGCATCCCAAACATGCTCAATGGGTGACATGTCTGGTGAGTATGGCGCAGTGGTCTAAGGCACTGCATCGCAGTGCTAGCTGTGCCACTAGAGATCCTGGTTCGAATCCAGGCTCTGCCGTAGCCGGCCGCGACCGGGAGACCCATGGGGCGGCGCACAATTGGCCCAGCGTCGTCCAGGGTAGGGGAGGGAATGGCCGGCAGGGATGTAGCTCAGTTGGTAGAGCATGGCGTTTGCAACGCCAGGGTTGTGGGTTCGATTCCCACGGGGGGCCAGTATGAAAAGTAAAAATAAGAAAATAATGTATGCACTGACTAAAATGTAAATGTGAATGTATGCAGACCATGGAAGAACTGGGACATTTTCATATTCCAGGAATTGTGTACAGATCCTTGCCACATGGGGCCATGCATTATCATGCTGAAACATGAGGTGATGGCGGCGGATGAATGGCACGACAATGGGCCTCAGGATCTCTGTGCATTCAAATTGCCATAGCTAAAATGCAATTGTGTTCGTTGTCTATAGCTTATGTCTGCCCATACCATAACCCCACCGCCAACATGGGGCACTCTGTTCACAACGTTGACATCAGCAAACCGCTCGCCCACACGACGCTATATACTGCCATCTGTCCGATACAGTTGAAACCGGGATTCATTCGTGAAGAGCACACATCTCCAGCATGCCAGTGGCCATCGAAGGTGAGCATTTGCCCACTGAAGTTGGTTACGACGCTGAACTGCAGTCAAGTCAAGACCCTGGTGAGGACGACAAGCACGCAGATTAGCTTCCCTGAGACGGTTTCTGATAGTTTGTGCAGAAATTCGGTTGTGCAAAACCCACAGTTTCATCAGCTGTCCAGGTAGGCTGGTCTCAGACCATCCTGCAGGTGAAGAAGCCGGATGTGGAGGTCCTGGGCTGGCGTGGTTACACGTGGTCTGCGGTTGTTATGCCGGTTGGACGTACTGCCAAATTCTCTAAAACAACGTTGGAGGCGGTTTATGGTCGAGAATTGAACATTAAATTCTCTGGCAACAGCTCTGGTGGACATTCCTGCAGTCAGCATGCCAATTGCACGCTCCCTCAAAACTTGAGACATCTGTGGCATTGTGTTGTGTGACAAAACTGCACATTTTAGAGTTTAGTTATTGTCCCCTGCACAAGGTACACCTGTGTAATGATCATGCTGTTTAATCAGCTTCTTAATATGCCACACCTGTCAGGTGGATGGATTATCTTGGCAAAGGAGAAATGCTCACTAACAGGGATGGAAACAAATTTGTGCACAACATTTGAGAAAAATAAGCTTTTTGTGCCTATGGAACATCTTTTACTTCAGCTCATGAAACATGGGACCAACGCTTTACATGTTGTGTTTATCTTTTTGTTCAGTATACATAGGGCAGCTGCCTCTAAAGTGCAGTAGAGTAACCGGGTGTGACAGTGACTAAGTTCGGGGTGAACAGGCCGTGGCTCGGGTGGCTGAGGTCCTTGCTGAGCTTCTTGGCCTTCCTGTGACACAGGTACTGTAGATGTCCTGGAGGGCAGGCAGTGTGCCCCCGGTGATGCGTTGAGCAGACCGCACCACCCTCTGGAGAGCCCTGCGGTTGCGGATGGTGCAGTTGCCGTACCAGACGGTGATACAGCCCGACAGGATGTTCTCAATGGTGCATCTATAAAAGTTTGTGAGGGTCTTAGGGGCCAAGCCAAATGTCTTCAACCTCTATTGCGCCTTCTTCACCACACTGTCTGTGTGGGTGGACCATTTCAGATTGTTAGTGATGTGCACACTGAGGAACTTGAAGCTTTTCACCTTCTCCACTGCAGCCCTGTTGATGTGGATGGGGGCATGCTCCGTCTGTTGTCTCCTGAAGTCCACGATCAGCTCCTTCGTTTTGTTGACGTTGAGGTTATTTTCTTGGCACCACTCCACCAGGTTCCTCACCACCTCCCTGTAGGCTGTCTCGTCGTCATAATCAGGAGACAACCTACAGGGAGGGGGTGAGGGCCTTGGCGGAGTGGTGCCAGGAAAATAACCTCTCCCGCAACGTGTGTGCAAGCTTCCGTGCGTGTGTGATAGAGTGTGTGGGGGTGTAGGACTAGCTGCATGTAATGGTACAGAGGCTGCTCTTCCGTGTTCCAGGGTTTTCAGCTTTTTATAGCCGATGCAAATGTTGTTATCTTTTGAAGCACCTGTTCAGATTGCGTTCCATTGTATTGAACTCTCAGTAGCCGCCACACAGTAACCCAGAAGCCACTCTGGCATCCATTTCATACACAACTGTTACACAAAACACACTTACTGTTTGATTAAAGGGATAGTTCACTTTTAAGAAGTTTTAGATTAATTTTGGGTGTTGTCATTTCATCCAAGCCATTTTTTTATATTTTTTTATTAAGCTGGCAAGCATTTTTGAAGCATGTTGAAAATATATATATAAAAAACTTCCCAAAATAAAGTAAGCTGTCCCTTTGAGCACTAGGAGTAAGTCAGTGATCTACTACCAGAAATATTCTAAGAAGATGCTAAACTTATTAGCATTAGCCGTAACGCCAGTGAGAATGTTAACCGCGTGGTGCATTCTGGGTCAAGGAGAGCACTCCTTTAAGGAGTCATTTGGGCACTAGTTCAACCAGCCAACATTAGCATGAGATGTTTACTGTTAACTTGTTCTCTGTAATATTGTATATTGTACAGTTTCAACCAAAAAGACCAGGGAGGTTTTCCAATGCCTCACAAAGAAGGGCACCTATTGGTAGATGGGTAAATAAAATCAAAAAAAGCAGACATTAAATATCCCTTTAAGCATGGTGGTTATTAATTACACTTTGGATGGTTTATCAATACACCAAGTCAATACAAAGATACAGGCATCCTTCCTAACTGTTGGGAAAGGGCTCATAAGGAAGCATTTCACGGTAAAGTCTACACCTGTTGTATTCGGTGCATGTGACAAATACAATTTAGGGTGCGTTCGTAAGAATAACTAATGAATTTACGAACACTCAACACCCGTTGAATATGGCCAGTGTCAAATGGTCAGAGTGAGGTGTCCTCTCATTTGTGTCTGGAAGTAGTGAGCAAGCTAGCCAACGTTAGCCTGCTAGCTTGGGCGCTTTACTGTCATTGTGAGGTCAGAACGCTCGGATCAACCCTACTCCTCGGCCAGAGCGTCCAGTGAGCGTTTGAATTTATGAATGGACAATCTGACAACGCTCTGAATTTACGAACGCCCAGAGTGCACTCTGGCACTCCAGATTGAATGTACAAACACACCCTTCATTTGATTGATTTGATTATGAATCGTGACATTATGTACTTTAGAAGAAAATTAGAAGTTACTCGACTCATACCCTGACTTTCTAGAAGGGAGTGCGTGGCGAATGGCTTAGCAACCTCATGACGCATTATGACAACATAAACGTGATTGGTCAAGATTCCCCATTATCTAAGCGTTATGCATTTCTCCATTCATTCTCCCCGCTGTTTAGCATCTCCCTCCTTCTTATAAATATCTCTGATACTACTTTTCTACTATACAGACCAGGTCAAAGGTCAAACCAGCAATGAGGCAAGGGGCTAGACAAGATAAACTACAAAACAGTCAGGGCTGGATTCAATTTACAGTTGAAGTCGGAAGTTTACATACACCTTAGCCAAATACATTTGAACTCAGTTTTTCAACAATTCCTGACATTTAATCCTAGTACAAAATTCCCTGTTTTAGGTCAGTTAGGATCATCACTCTATTTTAAGTATGTGAAATGTCAGAATAAATAGGAGAGAGGATGATTTATTTCAGCTTTTATTTCTTTCATCACCTCAAACTACGCAACAGTTTATAATTTGGAGAGAGCACCTCAAACTACGCAACAGTTTATAATTTGGAGAGAGCACCTCAAACTACACAACAGTTTCTAATTTGGAGAGAGCACCTCAAACTACACAACAGTTTCTAATTTGGAGAGAGCACCTCAAACTACGCAACAGTTTCTAATTTGGAGAGAGCACCTCAAACTACACAACAGTTTCTAATTTGGAGAGAGCACCTCAAACTACGCAACAGTTTCTAATTTGGAGAGAGCACCTCAAACTACGCAACAGTTTCTAATTTGGAGAGAGCACCTCAAACTACACAACTGTCACCGATTCTGCCGAGGCTGCTCCTCCTCCTAGTTCGGGCAGGCTTCGGCGTTCGTCGTCCCCGGAGTACTAGCTGCCACTGTTGAATGTTTCTATGTTTGATTGCTTTTGTCTGTTTGTTACACCTGTGTCCGTTTGTGTCTGATTACGTGTTCTATAAGTTGCCTGTGTTGTATTGGTTAGGTTGTGTGTTGTTTTTCGCCTGTCCGTAGTGCTGCGTGTTTTTTCTCTGTTTTGTTGTTTTGTTGTTTTATTGTTTTACGCATAGTTTGCGTAATAGCTCGCCTCTGTTTTGTTTTGAGGCCGATCGTTGTATCTTTGCCTTGTGGTTCACAAGTAAACTTTATTGGACTAAGCTTCGGTGTCCTGCGCCTGACTCCCACACCACATACACCTCAGCCTTGACAACAACAGTTTCTAATTTGGAGAGAGCACCTCAAACTACGCAACAGTTTCTAATTTGGAGAGAGCACCTCAAACTACACAACAGTTTCTAATTTGGAGAGAGCACCTCAAACTACGCAACAGTTTCTAATTTGGAGAGAGCACCTCAAACTACACAACAGTTTCTAATTTGGAGAGAGCACCTCAAACTACACAACAGTTTATAATTTGGAGAGAGCACCTCAAACTACACAACAGTTTCTAATTTGGAGAGAGCACCTCAAACTACACAACAGTTTATAATTTGGAGAGAGCACCTCAAACTACATAACAGTTTCTAATTTGGAGAGAGCACCTCAAACTACACAACAGTTTCTAATTTGGAGAGAGCACCTCAAACTACACAACAGTTTCTAATTTGGAGAGAGCACCTCAAACTACACAACAGTTTATAATTTGGAGAGAGCACCTCAAACTACACAACCGTTTCTAAACCAGCATTTAAGGAAATGTGCCCTTCATAAAGGGAAGGTTCCGTGCCAAAAGAAATAGCGCTGACTGTCATCTGCATTGTTCTGTAAACTGTATTGTCAACAGTGTTGAACAAGGACAGACAGACCGTATCACCACTTTATTGTACAATATCTTGGTCCTAGTAATAGTTAATGCTCAGGCATAGCCTAAAAGGCTGCCCAAAGTAGGCCAACTTCATTCCTGTGGCTTTTGGCACGTGTTCATTCATTTCGCCAACTTGTGTTTTGTCTTCCTCTGTCCTCTCTCTCTCTCTCTCTCTCTCTCTCCCTCTCTTCCTTTCTCTCTCTCTCTCTCTCTCTCTCTCTCTCTCTCTCTCTCTCTCTCTCTCTCTCTCTCTCTCTCTCTCTCTCTCTCTCTCTTCTCTCTCTCTCCTCTCTCTCTCTCTCTCTCTCTCTCTCTCTCTCTCTCTCTCTCTCTCTCTCTCTCCCTTTTCTCTCTCTCTCTCTTCCTTTCTCCTCTCTCTCTCTTTCTCTCTCTCTCTCTCTCTCTCTCTCGTCCTCGCCCATTTTGTTGGAGAGGATATGGCAGGCATGACTCAGGTGGCTCTTGGACTCATAAGTGACTCATGACTCATACTCTGACTCAAGTCAATTTTCATATCATTCCTATGACTGAATAGCCTCCATGCTTAGATTTAAAATTCCTGTGCAGCAGGTACAACGTTAATATGACAGACTCTCTCCCAGGGTGACGCCAAGCACCAAGTTCATTAGCAATCATCTAACAATTACCTGATGTAATCAAAATCGACTATATGACACTTGTAGAAACATTTAAGTTTATTAATCACAACTGTAGTAGAGGAATGCCACCACATAGCGGTCTGCCTCGTATGGGCTAAATTGGCTTATTGCTGATAAACAACAAAAAGAGAGTCTCCTCTTACTGGGCAACTTTAGATCATAGTTCCTTTATCAGATCACAGCTTCAGCTGTACAGGTGTACATGCCCACCTCGGAGTACGACGCCTACAGAACATCCCCTTAACTTCTTATTCTCGTTTACCCCTACATAAACCAATCAAACAGATGGCTCCCTCTCTGGCCATCACAGTCTCCCTGTTACAACACACTTTCTGTCTGTGTATGTGGGTTACACTACCATTCCCTCTTGATACTAAATTAACGCCTCTCTGGTTCCACTTAAACATTAACACTTCAGATCTCAAATACACGACAGGTCCTCTGGTAGCTCAGCTGGTAAGAGCACAGCGTTGTACGCCAAGGTAGTGGGTTCGATCCCCGGGACCACACATACACAAAAATGTATGCACGCATGACTGTAAGTCGCTTTGGATAAAAGCGTCTGCTAAATGGCTTATTATTATTATTATGCTCAATGTGAAGGTTTACTGCAGGTCGTGAATGTATCAAAAGACATGCTACGTGTTTTCTCTCTCTGCACAGGATATTGTTGAAGATGACTTCAACTGTCTCACATGAGACCAACTTCACTACAGTCTTCTCCAATACCACGACCACCACCAAGTCCAAAGAACAAATACTCACCCAGAGTAAGTAGGCGTTTGTGTCACAGGAGGTTGGTGGCACCTTAATTGGGGAGGACGGGCTCGTGGTAATGGCTGGAGGGAAATTTGTGGAATAGTATCAAATACATCAAACACATGGTTTGATGCCATTCCATTCACTCCGTTCCAGCCATTATTATGAGCCGTCCTCCCCTCAGAAGCCTCCATTGGTGTGTGTGTGTGTGTGTGTGCGTGTGCGTGTGTGTGACCTGGCTGGTGTGTGTGAGAACCATTATTTATTTTTTTACATCATTTTATTTGGAGTTCAAATTAAAAAAAGATTCAGTAGTTAATAAACTATTCCGAATATTTTCTAAATTTCACCAAGTGGTTATCATCAAACAAAACACCTCCCCTATGGAAGTTCAAATCAATAGGATAGTATGGCCCTAGTTAAGATAAGCATGTGCTGATTAGATGTCACACCATCTAATCAAGATGTACTGTAAGGGATTGGAAACAACTTAAACTTAACCCTGTCACTAAAGGATACACCTACAATCCCTCCTAACTATGCCATCTATCAACAACGAAAGGCTCAACACAGCATGCAAGATGGCTGACCAAGGAATGTTGATGACAGGGTACTAAATTACCATTCACTATCACAAATAAATAACACGTTTCCTCTCTGCTCATTTTCCAGGTTCAGGGGCTATGATTGCTGTCATCGTCATTGGCATCATTATTCTCGTAACTATACTGCTTGTCATCCTGAAGACATACAACAGGTCAGGCTGCATTCCATATAAATAGGCCTCCATGACATTCTCAGAGTGTTCTCACACTTGGTCCCTTTCAGCCAATTTCTCTGAACTCAGTGCGGTTTGCTTCATTTTTTTGTTCAGCGTGAACATTCCAAAGGAACTCAGACCCCTCAAAAAAGCCCCCGAAGTGAACCAAACTGAAACCGTCTCTGGAGGTGGTCTGAGTTCGGTTCTCTTGAATTCCGCGATCCAGTTCCCTTTTTTAGGGCAACGTGAACACAAAGCTCCCCAGGTTCGCTTGTCATTATTCCCCGCACCACACACTAGACTACTGCAACACTGTTACCGTTGCCCCTGCCATAACCCCTCACACTAGACTACTGCCATAACCCCTCACACTAGACTACTGCATAACCCCTCACACTAGTATCTACTGCCATAACCCCTCACACTAGACTACTGCCATAACCCCTCACACTAGACTACTGCAATCAACAGACACTGATAACCCTCACACTAACACTGCCATAACCCTCACATAGATACTGCCAAACCCTCACTAGACACTGCCCTAACCCCTCCCACTTGCCCTAACCCCTCCAGAACCCATAACCCCTCACACTAGACTACTGCCATAACCCCTCACACTAGACTACTGCCATAACCCTCACACTTAGACTACTGCAACACCCGTTTCCCCCTCGCCATAACCCCTCACACAGACTACTGCCATAACCCCTCACACTAGACTACTGCCATAACTCCTCACACTAGACTACTGCCATAACCCTCACACTAGACTACTGCCATAACCCCTCACACTAGACTACTGCCCTAACCCCTCACACTAGAAATACTGCCATAACCCCTCAGACTGCCATACCCCCACAAATAGACAGCATAACCCCTCACACTAGACTACTGCCATAACCCTCACACTAGACTACTGCAACCTGTTTCCCCTGCCATAACCCCTCACACTAGACTACTGCCATAACCCCTCACACTAGACTAGTGCCATAACCCCCCACACTAGACTACTGCCATAACCCCTCACACTAGACTACTGCCATTTACGCCCTACACACTAGACTACTGCCATAACCCCTCACACTAGACTACTGACATACCCTCCATTTTCCATCAAAGATACTGCGATAATGACACTATGGACATGAACTCGTTTCCTGCATACCTACACAAGCTATGCACAAAACCAAAATACTGCGCAGTTTTACATACACCGATTCCACTATTGATCTTGCAATACGTTTCCGTTGGCCATAACCCCTCACACTTTTTTGATGTGTTTTAACCTTACACACTAGACTATTTGCTTAGAATCACAACATAGGTACTCATAACCCTCACACCCTTGGACGACAACTGCCTAACCCCTTTAAGTTGAATAGGTTGCATAACCGCTCACACTAGAGTTATGTTAATAAGGCGTTTATGATTACCTTAGGATTAGGGTGGCGATACCCTCAACTAGACGAGTGGCCATATAACCCTCACACTAGACGACGGCCATACCCCCTCACACTAGACTACTGCAACACCGTTTCCCCTGCCATAACCAATAATATTTACATGTTAATATTATCTTCAAATTATAATTATCACTACAGGTCTCATCTTTTAACTATGTAAATTCAATCTATTAGCTTCCACTATGTTAGTATATCTACGCTGAATAAAAATATAAATGCAACATGCAACAATTTCAAAGATTTTACAAAGAGTTACAGTTCATATGTGACCGACCGACTTGATTCGTTCTGATGTAGCAACATTTGAAATGGTGTTTTTTACATTCTATAAAAGTAGAGACCCAGAGCTAGAAAATGGTTATATCAAACACTACAGTCGAGGAACAATGGGAAAGTAATTCTGCTTTGAAAGTTGATAAACTTCTAACCTCACTTTTAAGAAAATGGCCTTTGAATGTTTTGGTACAACCATTCAGCATCGTTCACACCCTCTAAAGCTTTAGCCCCACCCATCTCTTTAAGTTGTCGCAGTGACATCATGAAAATTCTATTGAAATGGATACTAATAGTGGAGTCTTTTGTTAAGACATGTAGCTAGCTAGCTAAACAATTAACCATAATCTCAACTCATGACTTTACTACCCTGCATGAATCTGCAGGTAGCTAACCAACCAGGTTTAATGTTAGCCAGCTAACATTAGCTAGCTAGCTAACAGTACACTTTAACTTGAAATGAAAACGACTTTCTGACAAAATTAGAAATGTGTAATATCTGAAAATTTAGCTAGCTAGACTATCTTACCCGTATACATGGATGGACGCTTCTCCCTCTCTGTCACGGATGCCATGGTTGCCTTTAGTTTGAAGATGTAATCCGGAGACAGGTGTTTTCTCCATCTCCTTAGCTATCATACTCTAATTCCACTGATTTCAAAAATCAGTCCTGCAGAAAGTGGAGAGCAAAACTTATGCAGTTCTACTACGCAATATATATATATTTTTAAAGCCGCGTTAGACAGGATTACCTACACATACTGACCAGCTCAAATAGTGGGCTAAATGGCAGACCAATCCAAACTCATCTTTCGGCATGTCCAGCCTACTCATTATCTCAGCCAATCATAGCTAGCGGGAAGGTTGCTGTCTTTTTCTGTGGCTAAACAACCTAGGCTTGTACTTTAACAATTGTATTCGTATTTACAGATGGCATACAAGTTTGATATTAAGGCACATGAAAGTTCACATGTTCCAGAAGGCATTTTTGCCAAAAAATGCATTTGGATTTAAAAAAAAAGTGTGAAGTAGTGACGCGTGACATACGCCTAGTTTCCTGAAACGAGTCACATATAAGAAAATCAGTCAATTGAAATAAATTAATTAGGTCCTAATCTATGGATTTCACATGACTGGGAATACAGATATGGATCTGTTGGTCACAGATACCTCAACAACAAAAAGTAGGGGCGTGGATCAGAAAACCAGTCAGTATCCGGTGTTACCACCATTTGCCTCATGCAGCGCAACACATCTCCTTCTCATAGAGTTGATCAGGCTGTTGATTGTGGCCTGTGGAATGTTGTCCCACTCCTCTTCAATGGCTGTGCGAAGTTGCTGGATATTGGCAGGAACTGGAACACTCTGTCATACACGTCGATCCAGAGCACCCTAAACATGCTCAATGGGTGACATGTCTGGTGAGTATGCAGGACTTGGAAGAACTGGGACATTTTCAGATTCTAGGAATTGTGTACAGATCCTTATGGCTTGGAGCTGTGCAATATCATGCTGAAACATGAGGTGATGGTGGCGGATGAATGGCACGACAATGGGCTTCAGGATCTTGTCACGGTATCTCTGTGCATTCAAATTGCCAATCGATACTATTTAATTGTGTTCGTTGTCCGTAGCTTATGCCTGCCCATACCATAACCCCACCGCCACCATGGGGCACTCTGTTCACAACGTTGACATTAGCAAACCGCTCACCAACATGACGCCATGCTGTCATATGCCCAGTACTACAGTTGAAACTGTGATTCATCCGTGAAGAGCACACTTTTCCAGCGTGCCAGTGGCCATCGAAGGTGAGAATTTGCCCACTGAAGTCATTTACGACGCCGAACTGCAGTCAGGTCAAGACCCCTGTGAGGACGACAAGCACGCAGATGAGATTTTATGAGACAGTTTCTGACAGTTTGTGCGGGTGGCTCGTCTCAGGCTATCCCGCAGGTGAAGAAGCTGCATGCTGAGATCCTGGACTGGCGTTTTTTACACGTGGTCTGCGGTTGTGAGGCCGGTTGGACGTACTGCCAAATTCTCTAAAACGACGTTGGAGGCAGATTACGGTAGAGAAATTGACATTCAATTCTCTGTCAACAGCTGGTGGACATTCCATTCAGCATGCCAATCAGCAGCTCTCCCTCAAAACTTGAGACATCAGTGGCATTGTGTTGTATGAAAAATGGAATACACTGAATAGAAAGCAAAACTCCAGCACACTGGTGATGTTGATGCTTCTGAACATTAAATGGGTCGCATAAAATATCTGTGCTATAACAAATAACATTTTAGCACATTTACTATTGAATTGTATATTTTGTCCTAATCCAGATGTTATTCACTGTATATGTTATCCTAATCCAGATGGTATTAACTGAATATGTTGTCCTAATCCAGATGATATTAACTGTATATGTTGTCCTAATCCAGATGGTATTAACTGTATATGTTGTCCTAATCCAGATGTTGCTGACTTTTCCTGATTATTCATTAGAAATGAACTAAGATTTAAAAATGCAATTTATAACTATGGTATGTTTTGTTATAGTGTGGGCCCAGAGTTTTTCCTGGTCAGGTGACAAGGTCAGGGAAATCTCAGGGTCCTAAAGTTGACCTTTAGAATAGAATAGAATAATTTAGGAAACTTATTTTTTAAAGCATTCAGATAAAAAATGTAACATATTCAAATGTCTTTCTCCTTCACAAGGCGGACACATGCATCCAGAGTGCTGGGTAGAGGCTCCAAAGGTCCACCTCGTCAGAAAATGTCTTCCTCTACAATGCAGACCAGCATACCCTTGGGAAATTTAGGAGCCAGCTCTGTGTCTGGTAGCTTTGCTCTGTCTAGTAGTATGTCAGAAAATGGATTCCGGCTACCCCGAGTGGAACTAAACAGCCTGGACTACAACAACTTGGAGCAGCAGAGTACGATCAGCGATTCCACAGTGGTCACCATACATGATACTCCATCACTAGGAAATACATAGCAGACCTCTAACTTATTGGACAGGGGACAAAGTCAGCATATCATGCTTGAAAACAAATGATGAACAAAGTGGTGCCATAGGGAAGCAATGGACACTCCTGTGGACATAAAACAATTATTTCTCGACTATAGTGTTCAGAACATGGAAAGAATGATCCTGCTGTCTGTGCATTCATAGCTGTGCTTCCAACAACCATGAGGATAAGCGTTGGAGAAGAGATGTGTACAAGATTCAAGACATGACTAGTTATTCTATGTGTGTAAAGTTCTATGGGAGGGAGTTGTTGACAGGGTTTTGAATTGATTCACATTACTCTGATGTGAGTGTTTTTTTGTAATAATAATGTTGTTATGGTTTTCACCACACAGGCGAAAATCATCAGAATGTTTCTGTGAAAAGTCAATAATGGTTTGAACCCAGTGGAGCTCTACATAGCAGACAATTATGAAATAGTAAGTCCCAATTAGTTTGACACCAAAGTATTTAGCACTTTACACACACCCTGTCCTGTGATTATTTGTTGTTCTTTAATTGAAATTAATACTGAAAAGAAATGTTGATATTTCTAAAAGTGTGTGCATGTTTCTGCTAGAAGATGATTACATTTCATCATTTAGCGGACAGTTTTACAGAACAACTAGGTTAGTTGGTGACATTATTCACTTTATATTCATTTTTTATATCACTGCCTAAGTTTGCTTGAAAATGAACTAATTCACTTGGATGCAGTCAATCTATATCCGACAATAGTGAAATGGATGGAGGCTCTGTCAAGCCTGGGAACAACATCAGTTTTGATGACAAGATAATACTTTCATAATAAGATGCACACATAAAACAACAGAATCGTAGACGCTATTTATTGACTTTAAATGCACAACAGATGTCAACAGGGGTTTGAGAATATTTTTTTGAATGACTGGCAACTGAAAGATTTGGCGCCCTCATCTGATGGAAAGTAGATATTGAGGCAAATTTGAGGCTGCATTACAGATCTCAATGAGCTGCAGTTGCAATGCATTTGGACGTTGTTTACGATTTTACATTAAATTGATTAAGACCATCACACTTGAACAAAATAAATATTTTAGTTGTATGCTCTATGAAGCCACAGTTAGCTTCTGAAATGAAACCATCAGATATAATTACTAACTTTGATGGAGCCAACGTTGCAGAACTGTTTACCGTAGTTGACTTGAATGCTACTCAGTACTTTTGTGTTTACGATGGTGTCCGTGGGTAAGTATCTAGATAGCTAGCATATCGGGTAGACTACCGTATATCCTGATTGCTCTCTTATTTTATAAATCACACAATGAAACTGAGCAGTCTGGATTTATTATTTAACCTACCTAGAAAATGAAAGTCAAAAGTTAGTAACTTGTAGCTAGCTTTCAAGACATTTAATATATTTACATGATTGTTCAATTCGCACGTTTTGAACAGTTCAACAGACCTAAAATAAGCCAGGCTTGTGTTTTGATGTGGAATATGGGGACACGTGTAACACCTGTTTTTACATTTTACACCACCGGCATTGTTGTCTGTCCAATATGAGTACCCATTTCAACTGAAATGTATAATTAAGTTTGAATCAAATGTAGGCTAATTAAGGAAGATGGTAGACAGATCTTTACTTATTTGCTTATATTTTTTAATTTTATTTAAAAAACTGCATTGTTGGTTAAGGGCTTGTAAGTAAGCATTTCACTGTAATGTCTACACCTGCTGTATTCGGCGCATGTGGCAAATAAAATGTGATTTGATTTGACAGATGATTGACAGACATTTGCTTTCTAGTGGAGGTACTTTGCCTCCTGCTGGTAGCTGTGTTGTGGGGCTGCACCAACCCACATCTGAAGAGAGGCACAGAGGGGATTGAACATGTTAAAAAGGAGAACAAGTTTCTTCAGTTCCTGGCTGAGGTCAAGTTCCTGTTTTTAAACATCAAGGTAAATTCAAACCTGTATTTGGAGAGAGACTACAACTTTTTAATTTATTATTCTACAGTGCATTCGGAAAGTATTCAGACCCCTTGACTTTTTCCATATTTTGTTACGTTACAGCCTTTTTCTAAAATGGATTACATTGTTTTTTCCCCATCAATCTACACACAATACCCCATAATGACAAAGCAAAAACACGTTTTTAGAAATGTTTGTAAATTTATTTATTTTAAATCAAAAAGGAAATATTACATTTACATACGTTTTCAGTCCCTTTACTCAGCACTTTCTTGAAGCACCTTTGGCAGCGATAGCCTCGAGTCTTCTTTGGTATGACGCTACAAGCTTGGCACACCTGTATTTGGGGAGTTTCTCCCATTCTTCTCTGCAGATCCTCTCAAGCTCTGTCAGGTTGGATGGGAGCTTCGCTGCACAGCTATTTTCAGGTCTCTCCAGAGATGTTCGATCGGGTTCAAGTCCAGGCTCTGGCTGGGCCTCTCAAAGATATTCAGAGACTTTATTCCGAAGCCACTTCTGCATTGTCTTGGCTGTGTGCTTAGGTTTGTTGTCCTGTTGGAAGGTGAACCTTCGCCCCAGTCTGAGGTCTTGAGCACTCTGGAGCAAGTTTTCATCAAGGATCTCTATGTAGTTTGCTCCATTCATCTTTCCCTTGATCCTGACTAGTCTCCCAGTCCCTGCCGCTGAAAAACATCCCCACAACATGATGCTGCCACCACCATGCTTCACCGTAGGGATGGTGCCAGGTTTCCTCCAGGCGTGACGCTTGGCATTCAGGCCAAAGAGTTCAATCTTGGTTTCAGCAGACCAGAGAATCTTGTTTCTCATGGTCTGAGAGTCCTTTAGGTGCCTTTTGGCAAACTCCAAGCGGGCTGTCATGTGCCTTTTACTGAGGATTGGCTTCCGTCTGGCCACTCTACCATAAAGGCCTGATTGGTGGAGTGCTGCAGAGATGGTTGTCCTTCTGGAAGGTTCTCCCATCTCCACAGAGGAACTCTGGAACTCTGTCAGAGTGACCATTGGGTTCTTGGTCACCTCCCTGACCAAGGCCCTTCTCCCCCGATTGCTCAGTTTGGCCGGGCGGCCAGCTCTAGGAAGTCTTGGTGGTTCCAAACTTCTTCAATTTAAGAATGATGGAGGCCACTGTGTTCTTGGCGACCTTCAATGTTGCATAAATTGTTTGGTACCCTTCCCCAGATCTGTGCCTCGACACAATCCTGTCTCGGAGCTCTACGGACAATTCCTTCGACCTCATGGCTTGGTTTTTGCTCTGACATGCAGTGTCAACTGTGGGACCTTATATAGACAGGTGTGTGCCTTTCCAAATAATGTCCAATCAATTTAATTTACCACAGGTGGACTCCAATCAAGTTATAGAAACACCCACCTGAGCAACCCATACACCAAAGAGAAGTTCCCATCTCTTTTATGGACCTGCTGTGAGTATGCAGCCTAAACAGAGAAATAAATGCGGTCAGAGACCTACTTGAGCAGCACCGCCCCCTCAAGATTCTGAGCCTGCCTGGCAGGGTTGGTCCTACAAAGCCAGAGCCCCCTGATGGGAGAGCATACTATACAAGGAAATTCTCAAAGCTGCTAATGAGAACCTTGACGACCTTTTACCTAGCCGGTGGGGATTCCGGTGGGGTACGCCCACCCAGGTAGTGGCAGTGCTGGCAACACTGGCTGCAGTAACCCATGGGGAGGGGGTCACACTCGGACAATCAGAGAGGGGGTTTATCATTGTGGCCCAGGTGGCACAAAATAATCAAAGGTCTGACCGCACGGAGATGCTTGGGAAAATGGTTACAACAGGGGATTAGAGTGTTTGTGTCTCAGGTGAAGAGGGTGGATCTGATCTCCATCACCTAGGACTTGACATAGATTAAGTAGATTAATCAAATCTCACATTCTTATCAATTTCTGCTCAATCTGCATGAATTTATAACTGACTTTCTCAATCAGCTTTAACTGTATGTGCACTCGTAAATCAGGTTATTTCTCGAGTTGGGCTCTGGGATATAACAGCCGTTGAGTATCTGATTTTATGGTGGATTGTGGAGGAGGGGGGTTGAGTGTGTTGGAGTATGTGAGTATGTGCGTGTGTGCTTGTCTGGCATCTGTTGTGGGGGGGTGGGGATGTTGGGGGGGAGGGGGGGTATGGGATGGACCACGGGAATTATTTGCTAGGATAATAATTGCTTGTCAATGAATTAAATGTAATACAATGGTAATCCGGGTTATATGTTAAAATCCTACGCGTGAACTGCCGACATTATTACGCATATTAATTGATAATGATGGAAAATAGGATATGCATAATTTTTTTTTAATAGTTATATATATATAGAGGTGACAGCATTGGAAATGCTTTTGGCGGTTAATCTGCTTCTGTTTTGTGGGTGGCACTGTGTGCTGTTTTCGATGGATGGGTCCTGGCCTCTCGGGGCCTTAGGGATCCGGAGGGACGTGGGTGGGATGCTGATCACTGGGATGACGGCTCAACTTGGGATGGGGAGGGGCTTTAGCAGGAGAATTAGTGGAGAACAATTGAAGGGTTACTCCGTAGCAATGCAAATATCACGGTACAGCTATATGGACACTCAATCATTACGGTATTTTTTATTGGTAGATTTACAAACATATATAATGATAAATAGACTTGAAACTTGTATCTCATTATGGTGTATGGTGAAATAAGTATAGCCAGTTATAATTGTAATGGCTTAGCTGATAATAACAAAAGAAGAACAATATTTACATGGCTCAAAGAGAAGGAATATAATATCTATTGTATACAGGAAACTCATTCAACAATTTGAGATGAAGTTGCGTGGAAAAAATAATGGGGGGGGGGGGAAATATACTTCTCCCATGGGCAAAGAAATTCAAAAGGGGTGATGATATTAATTAATAGTAATTTCGATCCGAATGTGCAAATTGTCCAAATAGATACGCAAGGTAGATGGATTATTTTAAATATGTTATTGGACCATAAACAGATATGGCTCATTAACCTTTACGGACCAAATAATGATGATCCTGAATTCTTTGACAATATATATAATAAATTCTCAACCCTGCAAGCAATTCAAGACAATATTATTATGGTGGGTGATTATAATACTGTTTTAAATAGCTCAATGGACCGTAAAGGAAATCACACCACAAACAATCACCCACATGCTCTTAAGGAAATCGTGAACGTCATGGATACATTAGAACTAGTAGATATATGGAGGCTTAAATATCCTGATCTAGTGAGATATACATGGCGGAGACTCAATCAAGCTAGTCGTCTTGACTTCTTTCTTATGTCATTCTCGTTGGCACCAAAAGTTTAAAAAAAGTGTTGATAGGGGACAGAATACGGTCGGACCATCATAAATGGCATATACATTACTCTTACTGAATTTCCACGTGGGCGAGGATATTGGAAATTTAATCAAAGCCTATTGGATGATAATTTATTTATAATTAGAACAAAGGAATTTATAACTTACTTTTTCCAACATAACATAGGTACAGCGAATCCTCTTATTGTATGGGACACCTTTAAATGTGCCTTTAGAGGCCATGCAATTCAGTACTCATCTCGAAAACAAAACCAATTTAGGTCAAAAGAGTTTATACTAACAAAGGAAATAGAAAGTCTAACAGAACAGATAGATGGCAATAAAAACTGTAACATAGAGGCTCAGAATAAATTAGAGGAAAAACAAAAAGAAATGGAGAAACTTATTCAAGAAAGATCAAGTGTAATATATTATAAAAATAAAGCAAACTGGATGGAATATGGGGAAAAATGCACAAAATTATTTTTTAATCTTCAACATAGGAATGCTACCAAAAATAACTTAATGAAACTGGTTACAATTGACGGAGTCACCCATAATTCACCAAATTATATTTTGAAGGAAGAAACAAAGTACTTTAAGCATATGTTTTATTTTCAGTCGCCTCCATCTCCTCTAACTGAAGCTAATTGTAGAGAATTTTTTTCTATTGATAATGTCAAATTAACAGCCACACAGAAAGACTCATGTGAAGGTGAAATTACAGAGGAGGAACTTCTGGATGCAATTAAAGACTTTAAGTCTGGGAAAACTCCAGGGTTGGATGGCATACCAGTCGAGGTATACCAAACCTTTTTTGATATACTAAGAGGACCGTTATTAGCATGTTTTAACCACTCCTATGTAAATGGTAGATTATCTGACACTCAAGAAGAAGGTCTGATCTCATTATTACTGAAACAGGATACAAGTGGAAAATATAAAGATCCAGTCCATTTACAAAATTGGAGGCCCCTTACACTTCAGTGTTGTGATGCAAAAATTCTAGCAAAATGTATAGCGCATAGAATTAAAAAGGTATTGTCGGATATTATTCATTCTAATCAGACAGGTTTTTTACATGGAAGATACATTGGAGATAATATAAGGCAAGTATTGGAAACAATAGAACACTATGGAAAATATGGGAAACCAGGCCTGCTATTCATAGCAGACTTCGAAAAGGCATTTGATAAAGTTCGACTGGGGGTTTATATATAAATGCCTGGAGCATTTCAATTTTGGAGAATCTCTTATAAAATGGGTCAAAATCATGTATAGTAACCCTAGGTGTAAAATAGTAAATAATGGCTATTTCTCAGAAAGTTTTAAACTGTCAAGAGGAGTGAAACAAGGTTGTCCACTATCGGCATATCTATTTATTGTGGCCATCGAGATGTTAGCTATTAAAATCAGATCCAATAATAGAATCCCTCCACAGCCTCATAGAGGATCTAGATACATTTTCTAACCTCTCTGGATTACAACCAAATTATGACAAATGTACTATATTACGTATTGGATCACTAAAAAATACAGTTTTTACATTACCATGTAGTTTACCAATAAAATGGTCTGATGGTGATGTGGATATACTCGGAATACATATCCCAAAGGAAATAAATGATCTCACTTCAATAAATTTTAATAGAAAGTTAGCAAAAATAGATAAGATCCTACTACCATGGAAAGGAAAATACCTGTCAATTTGTGGAAAAATCACCCTGATTAACTCTTTAGTATTATCCCAGTTTACCTATTTGCTTATAGTCTTGCCTACACCTAGAGAACAGTTTTTTAAATTATATGAGAAAAAAATATAAAATTTTATTTGGACCAGACAAAATTAAAAGGGCATATTTATATAATGAATATGAATTCAGAGGACAGAAATTATTAAATATTAAAGCATTAGACCTATCACTAAAAGCTTCAGTCATACAAAAGTTATACTTAAATCCGAACTGGTTCTCAAGCAAATTAGTAAGATTGTCTCACCCAATGTTCAAGAAAGGCCTTTTTCCCTTTATTCAGATTACAACAACTCATTTGCAGTTATTTGAAAAGGAAATAATCTCCCAAATATCACTATTTCTAAAACAAGCCATAAAAAGTTGGTTGCAATTTCAATTTAATCCTCCAGAAACGACAGAACAAATAATGCAACAAATATTGTGGTTAAATTCAAATATACTAATTGACAAAAAACCTTAATTTTTTGACAGAATGTTTAAAAAAGGTATAATCTTCGTAAATGATATCATCGGTAGGACTGGTGGAGTTATGTCGCACATGCAGCTAACAAAAATAGATGGAAATGTCTGCTCTACCCAAAATTACAACCAAATAATTGCAGCCTTACCGCAAAAGTGGAAGAGGAAAGTGGAAGGGGGAGAAAGTAAGGAACTTGTCTGTCGGCCTTGCATTAAAGAACATAATTGGTTAAGGAAAACTGTGATAAATAAAAAAGTATATCAGTTTCACTTAAGGACCAAAGGATTGACAGCCATCCCATATAGATTGCAAAATAGTTGGGAAGAGATTTTTGACGTACCGATCCCATGGCATAGTGTTTATGAACTGACACGCAAAACGACACCGGATTCAAAAATTAGAATCTTTCAATTTAAATTATTATATAAAATTCTTGCTACCAATATAATGTTATTTATATGGGGGATACAATCTTCCCAGCTCTGCAGATTTTGCTGTGAAGAGACAGAATCATTAGATCATTTGTTTTGGTTCTGTCCATTTGTAGCTTGTTTTTGGACACAGGTCCAGGAATGGCTAAAGGATTGCAATATTTACCTGGAGCTAACCTTGCAGATAGCATTACTGGGTGATCTGAAAAGTCATAGTCAATCGATCAATAATATAATAATACTTTTAGCAATTTTTTAAATTTTTAATTCACGATCTGTAGAAGCAATGAGAATAGAAAGGTTTAGAAAAACATCACAGTACGGTTGAAATATATATGGCAAATAGAAATCCTATATGGATGGTGTTAAGAGATAGATGGGAGGTATTGAATAGAGTTGAAGGATGGGACTAATAACAAATAACAACAAATAATAACAAAGATAGCTAATAATGTAAGCATACTGTGTCCATAATAAGTATATAGGTTGTATGTTGGGAGCTTTTGGAAAAGAGCACAGTTAGAAAGATATGGCATATAGAAGCAAACCGGATGGACATCATGAAAATGATCGGAGAGGTTGAGAGTAGAAGAAGTTCAGGAGCAAAAAATATATATATATATATATATATATAATATAATTATTGTAAAATTAACTGTGTCCATAAGGTGTAGATAGTAAGTATAGGCCGGAAGTAGAGACCTGGGCATTGTTGTTCACTAATTTACTCCAAGTAGGGAAAGGATGGCGGGGTTGAAAAGTAATAAAGGGGAGTATATATATAAAAAACATGGGGGATTGGAAGTGATGCAGACAATTACATTGATAGAAGATACAATCTATCTGCAATATTAAGCTGATCCATCCCCCAGAGAAAAAAAAGAAAAAAAAAAAAGTTATAGAAACATCTCAAGGATGATCAATGGAAACAGGATGCACCTGAGCTCAATTTCGAGTCTCATAGCAAAGGGTTGAATACTTAAGGTAAATAAGGTATTTTTATTTTACTTTTTAAAATACATTTGCCATAATGTCTAAAAACCTGTTTTTGCTTTGTCATTATGAGGTATTGTGTGTCGATTGATGAGGAAAAAACCTGAAAATAGCTGTGCAGCGACGCTCCCCATCCAACCTGACAGAGCTTGAGAGAATCTGCAGAGAAGAATGGGAGAAACTCCCCAAATACAGGTGTGCCAAGCTTGTAGCATCATACCCAAGAAGACTCGAGGCTGTAATCGCTGCCAAAGGTGCTTCAACAAAGTACTGAGTAAAGGTTCTGAATACTTATGAAAACGTGATATAATTAATTATTTATTTTTTATAAATTTGCAAAAATCTATAAAAAACAGTTTTTGCTATTTGATTACGGGGTATTGTTTGTAGATTGATTTGGATTAATCTTTTTTTGGTATCCATTTTAGAATAAGGCTGTAACGTAACAAAATGTGGAAAAAGGGATGGGGTATGAATACTTTCCAAATGCACTGTTTGTGAATTTCCATGCTTGTCCTGATCATTGTGGCAGATGCAGCCTATAACAACATGTCCCTTCACATTTGCAGTACCTGATTCCATTCCTACTGAATCAGAGTGGGTCCTTTGTGTACTACTTCACTTTTGCCACCACAGGTGAGCTACATCTAACTAATATGACTAATTGAACTACAGTTTGACTGTTTTACACATCCTCTAGGTTTCTTTTATCTCAAAATCTCATGATTGACGGCTATATTGATGCCAGTTACCCTGTGTTCTGGGGTGTAGGGTGAAGTTGCCCCTAGATGCCGATCTTGGGTCAGTATTGCATTTTCCCCACTAATGGTTAAGGTTAGGATTGGGGGAGGGAAGCTGATCCTAGATCTGCACCTAGGGGAAACTTCACCTAGGAGCGTGTTCTAGCTCTGCTGTGACAGTACAGTGTTCATCTCTCCTCTTCCTCCCCCTTTTCTTCCTCCTCCTCCTCTTCATCTTCCTCTTCCTCATCCCCTTCCCTCTTCCTCTTCCTCTTCCTCCTCCTCCTCCTCCTCCTCCTCCTCCTCCTCCTCCTCCTCTTCCCCTTCCCCTTCCCCTTCCTCTTCCTCTTCCTCTTCCTCTTCCTCTTCCTCTTCCTCCTCCTCCTCCTCCTCTTCCTCCTCCCCTCATACAGATCTGTCTCTGGTTGTGCTCGTGGCCAACTCCCTCACCTCCCTCTTCACCCTGCTCACTGGGAAGCTGCTCGGGGAGTTTAGGAGGGAAAAGTTGTTATAAAATGTGCCACTAGAGATCCTGGTTCGAATCCAGGCTCTGTCGTAGCCGGCCGCGACCGGGAGACCCATGGGGCGGCGCACAATTGGCCCAGCGTCGTCCAGGGTAGGGGAGGGAATGGCCGGCAGGGATGTAGCTCAGTTGGTAGTGCATGGCGTTTGCAATGCCAGGGTTGTGGGTTTGATTCCCATTAACTGTAAGTCGCTCTGGATAAGAGCGTCTGCTAAATGACTAAAATGTAAATGTAAATGTTATAATGTCACCACTTTCCAAACATAATGGCACACATTGTGTACAACATTGCCATCGCTCTCTAGGCAGTTTGGTTAGCCTTAGCACACATTGCATTGAGAATTATTGGTCATTTGGTATGGGCATACAGTGCCGGCCTTTGGTTGTTTTGGTCATGCCGTGTGTGTGTGTGTGTGTGTGTGTGTTTGTTGATGCAGGAGCTGTTGGAGGAATAGTCCTCACCATAGTGGGCATCACTCTGCATTGTGAGCCTCATCACTGGACAGCAGAAGGGCACACAGGTCTCACCAGAGAACTAGAAACAGTATATGTACCAGCACAGTACTCTATTGTATCTATCTCTATGTGTCTTGCACACAAAAAAAGGACTGGACACATTTTAACAGGTTTCATCTCCTACCTTTCCATAGGCTTAGTTATGTCATCAATAGAAGTGGCTTCATACTACATAACATACTTCTTCAACTACAGTAGTGTTTAGGTTGTCCATAGGGTCCAAAGCGTTTCACAACATTTTGTAACGGAGAATGAAAACGAGCACTTCTTGTCAGACTGTTCAGGTAGTAGGCTACCTCCCCGTTTCAAAAGGTTTTATTCCTACTGTGGACACAACCCTGACCTCTGGCACAACCCTGACCTCTGGCACAACCCTGACCTCTGGAACAACCCTGACCTCTGCCACAACCCTGACCTCTGGCACAACCCTGACCTCTGGCACAACCCTGACCTCTGGCACAACCCTGACCTCTGGCACAACCCTGACCTCTGGCACAACCCTGACCTCTGGCACAACCCTGACCTCTGGCACAACCCTGACCTCTGGCACAACCCTGACCTCTGCCACAACCCTGACCTCTGGCACAACCCTGACCTCTGCCACAACCCTGACCTCTGGCACAACCCTGACCTCTGCACAACCCTTACCTCTGCCACAACCCTGACCTCTGGCACAACCCTGACCTCTGCCACAACCCTTACCTCTCTGCCACAACCCTGACCTCTGCCACAACCCTGACCTCTGCACAACCCTGACCTCTGGCACAACCCTGACCTCTGCAACAACCCTGACTCTGCCACAACCCTGACCTCTGGCACAACCCTGACCTCTGCCACAACCCTGACCTCTGGCACAACCCTTACCTCTGCCACAACCCTGACCTCTGGCACAACCCTGACCTCTGCCACAACCCTGACCTCTGCCACAACCCTTACCTCTGCCGCAACCCTGACCTCTGCCGCAAACCCTGACCTCTGCCGCCCCCTGACCTCGCGAAACCCCTGACCTCTGCCCAACCCTGAATTGCCACAACCCTAAATCTCCCAACCCTGCCCTCCCACAACCCTCCCTTTGGGCAAACCCCTACCTGGGGCCAACTCGACCTCGGGCCAAAACCCTGACCTCTGGAAAACCCCGACCTCTCCCACAACCCTGACCTCGGGCCAAAACCCTGACCTTTGGCACAACCCTTCCTCTCCCACAACCCTGACCTCTGGCACAACCCCCCTCGCCAAAACCCTTACCTCTCCCACACCCTACCTCTCCCAAAACCCCCTGACCTCTGCCCAAACCCTACCTCTCCCCCAAAAACCCGCCTCTCACAACCCACCTCTGCCAAAAACCCTGACCTTTTTCACAACCCTTACCTCTGCCGCAACCCGACCTCTGCCGAAACCCCGACCTCTACGAAACCCTACCTCTGACACACCCTGCCCTCTGACAAAACCCTACCTCGCCACAACCCTACCTCCCCAAAACCCGAAATCGCCACAACCCTGACCTCTGCCACAACCCTGACCTCTGCCACAACCCTGACCTCTGGCACAACCCTGACCTCTGCCACAACCCTGACCTCTGCCACAACCCTGAAATCTGCCACAACCCTGACCTCTGCCACAACCCTGACCTCTGCCACAACCCTGACCTCTGCCACAACCCTGAAATCTGCCACAACCCTGACCTCTGGCACAACCCTGACCTCTGGCACAACCCTGACCTCTGCCACAACCCTGACCTCTGGCACAACCCTGACCTCTGGCACAACCCTGACCTCTGGCACAACCCTGACCTCTGCCACAACCCTGATCTCTGGCACAACCCTGACCTCTGGCACAACCCCTGACCTCTGGCAGCCAGGCAGTAGTGATTGGACATTGTGTAAATTAGTATGTAAATTAACTTAGCGGGAACTCAGCATGCACAGTGCTGTGGCTAATCCCACACCTTATAACTACTGTCACGGTTTCGGCCGGGGCGGCCCCTTCTCCTTGTTCGGGCAGGCTTCGGCGGTCGTCGTCTCCGGAGTACTAGCTGCCACCGTTCTATGTTTCTTGTTTGATTGGTTTTGTCTGTTTGTCACACATGTTCGTTGTTTAGTTTCATTAGGCACCCTATTTAGTTCCCTTGTGTTAGGTCAGGGGTTGTGTGTAATTGTTCTGCTGTCGTGTGGTTTTGGTCCTCTGTATTTTGTTCTCTCTTATTTTCGGGTTGTAATAGAGAGTCCTGCACGTTGTGCATACTTACTTTGACTGTCTAGTGTGCGTTTGTTTTCGCCTGTGGCCTGTTGCCGGTTTTGGCGTGCACTACGGACTTCACTAAAGAGCTTTGGATTTATATCTCTGTGTCCTGCGTGTGATTCCACATCCCACTACACTCCAACCCTGACAACTATTGTGAGACTGAGTTCATGTAGGGTTCATTCCAGCCATGGTCCAGATTTATTGCCCATCTAGTTAAAGCCAAGCCAGCTATTATTGTCATTCTGATGCCATGCTGTGTGAATGCCCATAGAAACACTAGGCTATAGGCCTGCAGAAGATCACAGTCAATGTGTTGGTTTTGAAAATGGACCAACTAGAGTTCACTTGTTTTAATCAATGTAATGTTTTAATGTACAGTACCAGTCAAAAGTTTGGACACACCTACTCATTCCTGGGTTTTTCTTTATTTTGACTATTTTCTACATTGTAGAATAATAGTGAAGACATGAAAACTATGAAATAACACATATACAATGTATTACTATATAATACAGAACCCTATGTCCTACCTGTTCTATTATTGTCTCAAAAATACTTTTTCCTGTTTACAATATGTTTGCCGCTTTCCATCAAAGCATTGTGCATCATTAGTATTATTTTTAATGAAACATTACATAGATTACCTGATTACTGTACCACAGTATTTCCTGCAAAATATGTCAATATTATAAAGAATACATTCACATTTTGGATTCTCAGTTTACTAATGAAAACAATAGATGGTAGATTATAGAAACAATGATCTTGTTACTCTCCTCATCAGCCACAGGCCATTACGGTGTCTGGTGGGGGGACCGGACTGCTCCATTACGGTGTCTGGTGGGGGGACCGGACTGCTCCATTACGGTGTCTGGTGGGGGGACCGGACTGCTTCATTACGGTGTCTGGTGGGGGGACCGGACTGCTCCATTATGGTGTCTGGTGGGTGGACCGGACTGCTCCATTACGGTGTCTGGTGGGAGTACCGGACTGCTCCATTACGGTGTCTGGTGGGGGGACCGGACTGCTTCATTACGGTGTCTGGTGGGGGGACCGGACTGCTCCATTACGGTGTCTGGTGGGGAGACCGGACTGCTCCATTACGGTGTCTGGTGGGGGGACCGGACTGCTCCATTACGGTGTCTGGTGGGGGGACCGGACTGCTCCATTACGGTGTCGGTGGGGGGTATGAGGACTGCTCCATTACGGTGTCTGGTGGGGGGACCGGACTGCTCCATTATGGTGTCTGGTGGGGAGACCGGACTGCTCCATTACGGTGTCGGTGGGGGGACCGGACTGCTCCATTACGGTGTCGGTGGGGGGTATGAGGACTGCTCCATTACGGTGTCTGGTGGGGGGACCGAACTGCTCCATTACGGTGTCGGTGGGGGGACCGGACTGCTCCATTACGGTGTCGGTGGGGGGTATGAGGACTCCCTTGCTAGAATAAACCAATCAGACAGGGCCATAAGATATTTTATTTTAAGGATATTCTTCGTCTTCGGCTCCTTGAATAGGAGTGAGTGTACAGACAGAATTAATTTTGAGACATTGAGTGTGTTCGTCTCTGTATTTGTGTATTCATGCACTGTACTGAATAGCAATGTGTGTGTGTGTGTGTGTGTGTGTGTGTGTGTCCATTACGGTGTCTGGTGGGGGGACCGGACTGCTCCATTATGGTGTCTGGTGGGGGGACCGGACTGCTCCATTACGGTGTCTGGTGGGAGTACCGGACTGCTCCATTACGGTGTCTGGTGGGGGGACCGGACTGCTTCATTACGGTGTCTTGTGGGGGGACCGGACTGCTCCATTACGGTGTCTGGTGGGGAGACCGGACTGCTCCATTACGGTGTCTGGTGGGGGGACCGGACTGCTCCATTACGGTGTCTGGTGGGGGGACCGGACTGCTCCATTACGGTGTCGGTGGGGGGTATGAGGACTGCTCCATTACGGTGTCTGGTGGGGGGACCGGACTGCTCCATTATGGTGTCTGGTGGGGAGACCGGACTGCTCCATTACGGTGTTGGTGGGGGGACCGGACTGCTCCATTACGGTGTCGGTGGGGGGTATGAGGACTCCCTTGCTAGAATAAACCAATCAGACAGGGCCATAAGATATTTTATTTTAAGGATATTCTTCGTCTTCGGCTCCTTGAATAGGAGTGAGTGTACAGACAGAATTAATTTCGAGACATTGAGTGTGTTCGTCTCTGTATTTGTGTATTCATGCACTGTACTGAATAGCAATGTGTGTGTGTGTGTGTGTGTGTGTGTGTGTGTGTGTGTGTGTGTGTGTGTGTGTGTACCTCTGGTGTCTCAGTAGCAGACACACAACTCTCTAAGGCAGCGCCTTGTTTTTTGTGGACAGATGGATCTGCGGTAGAGTGCATCTCATGCTCCAGGGATGTGTTTACCTTTGTCAGAGGAAGAACATGTAAACCATGAAAAACATTTAACCTTATTAATGTAGCAAACATCTTCAGTGTGATAGTGAATTAATATATCATTGAATGAGTATATCGCACAAGAACACATTCACTGAGTGTACAAAACATTATGAACACCTACTCTTTCCATGACATTTGCATATCATTGGCAGTTTCTAATCCTATTTATTTGCATCTCCGATTCAAATCTGTTTATTTTCCTGCAGTCTGAACAGCCAAAAAGCCCATGGAATCTGATATTTCAGGCCAAATTTCAAAACCACCTTCGTAGGTGGTTTGACGTCAGATACAAATCTGATTCCTGGCCATGTGACTTTTGTCTGAATGCTCAAATCTGATTTATTTGCCCTCAAGTGGTTTTTAAACTGTTATTTGGCATATCTTGTTGCTTGCTGGCTACTCTGACAGTTTGACAAGAACATGTGGTAGCTAACTAGCTTGTTAATTGTTTACAAACAAATTAGTGAATGTGCTATAAAGCTAAACAGCTAGCTAGCTAGTTGACTGCTGTGGCTAGCCAGAAAGGATTTGTTTTGAAAGTTGGATCATGTTATCCTTTGAGGCATTAAAAGTGTTCTTACACTATGATTTTGAACATTCAAAGCAACTGGGAAACATCCATGGCAGGCATTGTTGTCACCTTAGCATGCTACATAACTTCTGAGTGATAGGAAGCACAAGCACCACCACCAATCAGCCTACACCACTGCACACACACGCCATTACTATGACAACTAGCATAGGCTTGTCAGCAAATGACTGCTGTCTGAACACGCAAATCCGATTTGGTTACTTGTAACTTGCTGTTTAGACAGTCAGTAGTTCAAAACGGATTTGAAAAACAAAACTTATTTGAGCATTAAGGCCTGCAGTGTGAACAAGGCTTTAGACTGACCAGGTGAATCCAGGTGAAAGCTATGATCCCTTATTGATCCACTTCAATAAGTGTAGATGAAGGGGAGGAGACAGAATGGGCAAGACAACATTTTTAAGTGCCTTTGAACGGGGTATGGTAGTAGGTGCCTGGCACAGGCCTGTTGCGGTGACCATATTTCCGCCACACCGGCTGTCACGAGTCATGAAGGCAGTCAAATTCCACGTGACCGTTTAGTCACGGTAATTAAGCTTCTCCAAGCTCTGATTCTGCTGATGGTCATTAGTAGCCTACCAAACTTACTAACTGCCTTGTACTCAGCACTCTATTGTCCCTCTAATCACTCTGACATCAATGCAAATCTGTCTGATGAGAGTCTGATGAGTCTGATGAGAGCAGAGCAGATAGCACCAACATGTCTTACAGCGCAAAGATAGGCCCGTCCATCCTCAGCAGTGACCTGGCCTGCCTGGGCACTGAATGTGTCCGAATGATGGAGTGCGGGGCTGACTTCTTGCACCTCGACGTTATGGACGGTCATTTTGTACCCAACATCACGTTCGGTCATCCCATGGTGGAGTGCCTGAGGAACTGTGTGGGGCCGGGCCCTTTCTTTGACATGCACATGATGGTATCAAGGCCAGAGCAGTGGGTGAAACCCATGGCAGCAGCAGGAGCCAATCAGTACACATTCCACCTAGAGGCCACCACCAAAAAAAAAAAAAAAAAAAAAATCTGGAAACCTCATCAAGGAGATCAGAGAGAGCGGCATGAAGGTGGGCCTGGCCATAAAGCCTGGGACTACAGTAGAGGAGTTGGCCCCGTGGGCTGGACAGATCAACATGGCTTTGGTCATGACTGTGGAGCCTGGCTTCGGAGGCCAGAAGTTCATGGAGGACATGATGCCCAAGGTGAGCTGGCTGAGGAGTCAGTTTCCCTCTCTGGACATTGAGGTGGACGGAGGAGTGGGTCCTTCTACCATCCATAAGTGTGCTGAGGCAGGCGCTAACATGATTGTGTCGGGCAGTGCTGTGGTAAGCAGTGACGACCCTCGCTCTGTCATCGCAACGCTGCGCACCGCCGTCTCGGAGGCCATCCAGAAACGCTCGCTGGACCGCTGACACGCCAACCCCTGCCTGGAGATCACTACAGTAATGCCTCCCACCAGACCGCCATAGCAACATGCTACTACACCCTAAAGAAGGACAGTCAAAGGATGTTTCTCTGGTGGTCAGGGAGAGGTAGGATGGGTGAAGAAGGGGTGTGCCGATGTCACAGGTTGATCCAGTGAGGCTGCGCCCCTGCCCCTGAATACCCCAGAACATCAGAACCAACCCCAGTCACCTCAAAGCTCCACACTCAGCCAAGATTACTACTCAACCCCAAACAGTTTACCCACCTACCAGCTTAGGCCTGTGAGTGGAACAGTGGTTATGTTGACTTCAAACAATAATTCTAAACATTCCTGAATATATTTGGAATACTGTTATGTTGAAAACAATTTTAAGTAACCTCCCGAGTGGCGCAGTGGTCTAAGGCACTGCATCGCAGTGCTAGCTGTGCCACTAGAGATCCTGGTTTGAATCCAGGCTCTGTCATAGCCGGCCGCGACCGGTAGACCCATGGGGCTGCGCACAATTGGCCCAGCGTCGTCCAGGGTAGGGGAGGGAATGGCCGGCAGGGATGTAGCTCAGTTGGTAGAGCATGGCGTTTGCAACGCCAGGGTTGTGGGTTTGATTCCCACGGGGGGCCAGTATGAAAAATACAAAAAATAATGTATGCACTCACTAACTGTAAGTCGCTCTGGATAAGAGCGTCTGCTAAATGACTAAAATGTTTTAAAAAATGTAAAATGCAAATGTAATTGAAAATAAAATAAAATACTTCATTAGAGCCCATGAGCTCATGTTGCACAACATTTCTATAGGCTATGCAATTGCGCGAGAATGGCCTCTATTAAAAAGAGGAGGATCCCATCAGCTTTCTATAGGCTAGGCCTACTATATTTATTTCTCAACTTTCCTAATATTAAGCACATTGCTTCTCTTTACAACAGGAGTATTTTACATTTTTAGTCATTTTAGCAGACGCTCTTATCCAGAGCGACTTACAGTTAGTGAATACCTTTTTTTTAAATTTTTTTTTTTTATACTGGCCCCCCATGGGAATCGAACCCACAACCCTGGCGTTGCAAACGCCATGCTCTATCAACTGAGCTACATCCCTGCCGGCCATTCCCTCCCCTACCCTGGACGACGCTGGGCCAATTGTGCGCCGCCCATGAGTCTCCCGGTCGCGGCCGGCTGCGACAGAGCCTGGATTCGAACCAGGATCTCTAGTGGCACAGTTAGCACTGCGATGCAGTGCCTTAGACCACTGCGCCTTTTCCTCATGAAAATGAACCACGGGAAAAGCGTCCTCCATTCGCTATTTAAGTGCAGAGATGACATGTATTTTTTCCCCAGCCCGTTTCAAGACAGGTGCATGATAATGGTCCATTCTAAATCAAAATTAATTTCACAGTATATGTAAAGACAAGATTAAATCAAGAATAGTCTGATGGGTGACAACATTAGCCTATCACTTGTGAATTATATATTATCACTTGTGAATGATGCCCAGCATAAGGCAAGAAACAATGCCTTTTTCTAATCATAGTCGCACACCTCATGTAGCCTAGCCCATAGGCCTATATGTTTTGATAAGGTTTGTATCACAACTAAAGTGGCCAAATAACTTCTTAAAATTAAGCACATGAATCCGCTTTACAAGGGGTGTAGAGCCTAACTGGCATACATAAGCAGCGCATGAGTTTCAAGTTTTGGGAAAATAATTTTCACCATAAAAACGGACCTTTATAATAAAAGCATTACATGCAAAAATCGCATTTGCAATCACTTTTGATGATGGTGTTTTCCCGCTAATGGAACATTCACACTTATAGCCTACTGCCATGTGAGCATTGCTGCGCTTATAATGTGAAGAAATAGCCTAATTGTTTATCAACATTTTAAAGCTAAACGTTCTGATCTGTTGCGTCAGCCTCATTGCATAAATGTTTTTGGGGGATGCTAGTGGTTGGAGATGGAGAGCCATGTGAGTGACAGGTGCTTCGGATCATGCAGCACTCAGGGAGAAGGGCTGCAAAAGGCATGGATGTTTTTTAGGGTGCTTTACGACCACACAAAGGGGATGCCGCCGGGAAATTCGAGGCATTATCAAGTGCTTCTCAAATGTAATTGAAAATCGAAACATATAGCCCAACGTCTGTAGAACAACTAAAGTTACATTAATAACTCTAAATGAAGCATATAGGAGTACCTATTTCTTTGTTAACCGCTCAACACGGAATAGCCGCATGTGCGCACTCAGTCAAATCGTTTGGAGAAAATATCCTTTCTATTTTATTCAGCTTTGTTCATTTGTATTCTTCATACTATAATATAAAATAATGCCACGGAATTCTAAGCAAATCTTGTCTGCTAAATGAGTGTAGCCCACATCAATATGGCATAGCCAGATCAGGACCTAACATAAGGACAACTCAGAGTATGCAATTCTGTTCTTCTGAAATAGACTACATTTTCTTCATATCATGTTTCTTTAGACCTGTCTAAAATAAATCATGGATTAATTGTGAAGGTGTAGGCTATATTACATAGATTTATTAGACTTTTTTAAATGTAGATGTTCCAAAGGTCTGCATCAGTGGCTTGTAGGCTATGTGTGGAAGCCAGGAGATGCTGAATGTGTTTATGTTAATTAACGGTCAATTACCGTGATACCGACAGTTATTTGCATGACAATCACCGGCTGATGAAATTTCGTGACAGCCACAGCCCTAGTTAGGTGCACCGGTTTGTGTCAAGAACTGCAACGCTGCCGGGCTTTTTCACGCTCAACAGTTTCCCGTTTGTATCAAGAATGGTCCACCACCCAAAGGACATCCAGCCAATTTTACACAACTGTGGGGAGCACTGGAGTCAACATGGGCCAGCATCCCTGTGGAACGCTTTCGACACCTTTGAGGCTGTTCTGAGGGCAAAAGGGGGGAGGGTACAACTCAATATTAGGAAGATGTTCTTAATGCTTTGTACACTCAGTATATACTGTATGTATACACACACACACACACACACACACACACACACACACACACACACACGATCACTGTCGTCTGTGTTATCTGGCTCATGAATATATCTCTCTCTCACACACACACACACACACATATGCCTTTTCCTCAGTCTCTACCTACAGACAGACAGGCAAGATGAGCCCTAAAGTAGTGAAAGGTATGTGCTATTTTCTTAATTGCACTGTACTTAATGAATGAAAGCTTTCTGTACCTGTGGCGCTTCTGTATCAGGCATAGGGCTCCCATTGACGTCATCCTCTTTGCAGATTGTAGAGCTGGTATTTGCAGGTGAGTTCCTGTCTTTCTCAGTCGATGATTCCACCTTTGTGAATCACAATTGTTTGAGTGGTTCTATCATCTAACAGCAGACTCAAATGTAAAAATGTAAATGTCACAGCATATCTCGGTAGGGTAAACATTTTGAGAATGATTTGGCAAATCATGAGTGATGATCCTCGACCAGACAAACCTTGTCTGGGTGTTCTGGGTGAGGAAGGGGATATTTTTCACTGAACATTTTACCCTCTGTAGCCTTGGTCAAAGTCTAGAGAAGAAAAATACAAAGTGTCAAACCTTTCACACTAACAACAACCAATCATAAAACCGGCGTGAATAAACGTGTATAAAACTGTGACTTCTACAAAACCTCATGCTACTCAAGGAATGAGGCTATCCCAGACAGAAACCCACCTGATCTCGGCTGTTTGAATGAGGAGGATTTCTCCCAATGAGGTCCTCGTCCTCCACTGTCTCTGCCACGCTCTAAAAGATAAAGACACAATACTACAGTTTGCTTAACTATAAACCACACCTAAACACATTACATATAACCCTCATACACATTATTTCAAGGAGAGAAATGGTAAATGGTCCCATTGCACTGCTAAGGGAAGAACGAACAGTTTAAACTTGATTGTAACCCAGAAGGACATTTGGTTATAGGCAGGGTTAACACGATGAAAAAACTTAGAGCACATACAAAAGAGTTTAAAAACAACAACACCCCACAAAGTACACAGAAACATAATTATATGCAACTTCAGGCAATAGAGTGCATGTCCAAATCAGGACCATTTGATTCCCTTTCCCTGCCAGGGCCCTGTGTTTAACATGTTTATGGTGGTGGGTACAAAGGAGAGCTGGATCTCAGAGTGGAGGGCGTGGTCACTGTCATGGAACGGAGAGCTTTGGGTAAGAGGACAATAAAAGGTATAGGCCTACCTGGTCAACGGGGAGATCTACTGCTGTGTTCTTATCCTCCAGCACCTCCTCAGCCCCCTGCACCTCCTCTCTCCTCCTCCGTACAGCTTTGAACACACTGGCCTGGGCTGCAACTCAAACACACACACACCAACATGAACATGAATGATCAATCATTGTAAATGTGCATAGACACAATCATGAATGCAATATTTCACACTATGCCAGGGCAACACCAGACCATATGCCAGGGCAACACCAGACCATATGCCAGGGCAACACCAGACCATATGCCAGGGCAACACCAGACCATATGCCAGGGCAACACCAGACCATATGCCAGGGCAACACCAGACCATATGCCAGGGCAACACCAGACCATATGCCAGGGCAACACCAGACCATATGCCAGGGCAACACCAGACCATATGCCAGGGCAACACCAGACCATATGCCATGGCAACACCAGACCATATGCCATGGCAACACCAGACCATATGCCAGGGCAACACCAGACCATATGCCAGGGCAACACCAGACCATATGCCAGGGCAACACCAGACCCACAAGCTGCTTTCTTATGGCTCCCCTTCTGGTATCTAATTCCTATGCAAATCAGGTCCTTGGTGAGAACAGCAAGACTGACACTGGCCCCAACGTAATTGGAGTGTGTGTGTGCTCCTACCTGGTCCACTCTTTGGTGGAGGCCGGGGATGGGCTCTGTTCCTCGCTCGGACCTTCACTGATCTGGCGTAGAAGATAGAGCTCTCCTCCTTCACTGGTCTCCTCTGGATGGATGGGAGAGCCATCTCCCCCACCTTGTCCCCAGTGGACTTCACCCTTCGCCCATCTGACTGGGACAACAACACCAGGGTTGTGTTTATTATCCACCAAATGGAAGAAAACAGACTGAAACCGGGCTGGGCTACTTGGACTTGTCCAATAAGAAACATTATTTTCCGCTACATTTTCGCTACAGTTTTCTGACAGTACCTCTGGAAAGTCCAGGAGAGCAGAGTCACTGTAGCTGTCCTCAGGGCCACTGGCTGCCTTCCTCCCCTGAGCAAGACAAAGGGAGACAGGGTGTATTTTGTATTTATTATGGATCCCCATGGGGTCCAGCAAAATTTAGGCAGTTCATACAATTTTAAAAACATTACAATACATTCACAGATTTCACAACACACTGTGTGACCTCAGGCCCCTACTCCACCACTACCAAATACCTACAACACAAAATCCATGTGTATGTGTGTGTATTTACATTTTAGTCGTTTAGCAGACGCTCTTATCCAGAGCGACTTACAGTTAGTGAGTGCATACATTATTATTTTTTTAATTTATTTTTTCATACTGGCCCCCCGTGGGAATCGAACCCACAACCCTGCCGTTGCAAACGCCATGCTCTACCAACTGAGCTACATCCCTGCCGGCCATTCCCTCCCCTACCCTGGGCCAATTGTGCGCCGCCCCATGGGTCTCCTGGTCGCGGCTGGCTACGACAGAGCCTGGATTCGAACCAGGATCTCTAGTGGCACAGCTAGCACTGCGATGCAGTGCCTTAGACTGCTGCGCCACTCGGGAGACATAGTGTATAGTGCGTATGTTATCATGTGTGTGTATGCATGTGTCTGGGCCTATGTTTGTGTTGCTTCACAGTCCCCGCTGTTCCATAAGGTATATTTTTATCTTTTCTTTTTTTTAAATCTAATTTTACTGCTTGCATCAGTTACTTTATGTGGAATAGAGTTCTGTGTAGTCATGGCTCTATGTAGTACTGTGCACCTCCCATAGTCTGTTCTGGACTTGGGGACTATGAAGAGACCTCTGGTGGCATGTCTTGTGGGGTATGCATGGGTGTCTGAGCTGTGTGCCAGTAGTTCAAACAGACAGCTCGGTGCATTCAACATGTCAATACCTCTCACAAATACAAGTAGTGATGAAGTCAATCTCTCCTCCCCTTTGAGCCATGATAGATCTCTCCTTTTTTGTGGCACTTGACCACACGACTGAACATTAGTCAAGGTGTGACAAAACTAGTGCCTGTAGGAGCTGCCTTGTTGATAATGCTGTTAAGAAGGTTGAGCAGTGCTTTATTTAGGACTAACTTATTCCTTGCCACCCACTCTGAAACTAACTGCAACTCTTTAAGTGTTGCAGTCATTTCAGTCGCTGTAGTAACTGACATGTACAGTGTTGAGTCATCCGCATACATAGACACTCTGGCTTTACTCAAAGCCAGTGGCATGTCATTAGTAAAGATTGAAAAAAGTAATGGGTCTAGACAGCTGCCCTGGGGAATTCCTGATTCTACCTGGATTATGTTGGAGAGGCTTCCATTAAAGAATACCCTCTGTGTTCTGTTAGACAGGTACCTCTTTATCCACATTATAGCAGTGGGTGTAAAGCCATAACACATACGTTTTTCCAGCAGCAGACTATGATCAATAATGTCAAAAGCTGCACTGAAGTCTAACAAAACAGCCCCCACAATCTTTTTATCATCAATTTCTCTAAGCCAATCATCAGTCATTTGTGTAAGTGCTGTGCTTGTGCTGAAAGTTTGTTGTCAATTTGTTTACTGTGAAATAGCATTGTATCTGGTCAAACACAATTTTTTCCAAAACTTTACTAAGGGTTGGTAACAGGCTGATTGGTCGGCTGTTTGAGCCAGTAAAGGGAGCTTTACTATTCTTAGGTAGCGGAATGACTTTTGCTTCCCTCCAGGCCTGAGGGCACACACTTTCTAGTAGGCTTAAATTGAAGTGGCAATATCGTCCACTATTATCCTCAGTAATATACCATCCCAGTTGTCAGACCCCGGTGGCTTGTCATTGTTGATAGACAACAATCGTTTGTTCACCTCTTCCACACTCACTTTACGGAATTCTAAATTACAACGCTTGTCTTTCATAATTTGGTCAGTTATAACTGGATGTGTAGTGTCATGCCTAAGTTTGCTAATCATGCCAATTTAAAAAATCATTAAAGTAGTTGGCAATATCAGTTGGTTTTGTGATGAATGAGCCATCTGATTCAATGAATGATGGAGCTGAGTTAGTTTTTTCCTCCAAAATGTCATTCAAGGTGCTCCAAAGCTTTTTACTATCATTCTTTATGTCATTTATCTTTGTTTCATAGTGTAATTTCTTCTTCTTTTTATTCAGTTTAGTCACATGATTTCTCAATTTGCAATACATTTGCCAATCAGTTGTGCAGCTGTCACGATCGTCGTATGGAGTAGACCAATGCGCAGCGTTAGTAGCGAACATACTTGTTTATTAAGTGAATAACGACAAAAACAACAAACACGATAACGTGACAGCCAACGGTCAAACACAAACCTAACTAGAACAAGATCCCACAATAACAAAGAGAAAACAGACAGTATAAATATGGCTCCCAATCAGAGACAACCAGCCACAGCTGACACTCGTTGCCTCTGATTGGGAGTCACTCTAGCCAACATAGAAATAAACAAACCAGAACTCCCAACATAGAAATACACCACATAGAATGACCCCACCCTGGCTCAACATATAGAGTCCCAGAGCCCGGGTGTGACAGCAGCCAGACTTATTTGCCATTCCTATTGCTTCATCCCTCTCAACCATACAATTGTTCAATTCCTCATCAATTTAACCGTTTTTACTGTCATTTTCTTAGTGGGTGCATGCTTATTAGTAACTGAAATAAGCAATTTCATAAAATGTGTCAAGTGCAGTGTCTATTTGCTCCTCATTACACACCACGGACCAACATATATTATTTACATCAACAACATAGGAATCACTGCAAAACTTATTGTATGCCTCTTATACACTATATTAGGTCCAGCCTTTGGAACTTTGGTTTTCCTAGATATGACTACTATATTGTGATCACTACATCCGATGGATTTGGATACTGCTTTCAAACAAATCTCCGCAGCACTAGTAAAGATATGATCAATACATGTTGATGATTTCATTCCTGTACTGTTTGTAACTACCCTGGTAGGTTGATTGGTAACCTGAACCAGGTTGCAGGCACTAGTTACAGTTTGAAGCTTTCTCATGAGTGGGCAGCCTGATGAAAGCCAGTCAATATTTAAACCACCAAGAAAGTATACCTCTCTACTGACATCAGATACATTATCAAGCATTTCACACATGTTATCCAGATACCGACTGTTAGCACTTGGTGGTCTATAGCAGCTTCCCACCAGAATGGGCTTTAGGTGAGGCAGATGAACCTGCAGCCATATTATAACGGTATTTAACATGAGATCCTCTCTAATCTTTACAGGAATGTGGTTCTGAATATACAGTGGGGAGAACAAGTATTTGATACACTGCCGATTTTGCAGGTTTTCCTACTTACAAAGCATGTAGAGGTCTGTAATTTTTATCATAGGTACACTTCAACTGTGAGAGACGGAATCTAAAACAAAAATCCAGAAAATCACATTGTATGATTTTTAAGTAATTCATTTGCATTTTATTGCATGCCATAAGTATTTGATACATCAGAAAAGCAGAACTTAATATTTGGTACAGAAACCTTTGTTTGCAATTACAGAGATCATATGTTTCCTGTAGGTCTTGACCAGGTTTGCACACACTGCAGCAGGGATTTTGGCCCACTCCTCCATACAGACCTTCTCCAGATCCTTCAGGTTTCGGGGCTGTCGCTGGGCAATACGGACTTTCAGCTCCCTCCAAAGATTTTCTATTGGGTTCAGGTCTGGAGACTGGCTAGGCCACTCCAGGACCTTGAGATGCTTCTTACGGAGCCACTCCTTAGTTGCCCTGGCTGTGTGTTTCGGGTCGTTGTCATGCTGGAAGACCCAGCCACGACCCATCTTCAATGCTCTTACTGAGGGAAGGAGGTTGTTGGCCAAGATCTCGCGATACATGGCCCCATCCATCCTCCCCTCAATACGGTGCAGTCGTCCTGTCCCCGTTGCAGAAAAGCATCCCCAAAGAATGATGTTTCCACCTCCATACTTCACAGTTGGGATGGTGTTCTTGGGGTTGTACTCATCCTTCTTCTTCCTCCAAACACGGCAAGTGGAGTTTAGACCAAAAAGCTATATTTTTGTCTCATCAGACCACATGACCTTCTCCCATTCCTCCTCTGGATCATCCAGATGGTCATTGGCAAACTTCAGATGGGCCTGGACATGCGCTGGCTTGAGCAGGGGGACCTTGCGTGCGCTGCAGGATTTTAATCCATAACGGTGTAGTGTGTTACTAATGGTTTTCTTTGAGACTGTGGTCCCAGCTCTCTTCAGGTCATTGACCAGGTCCTGCCGTGTAGTTCTGGGCTGATCCCTCACCTTCCTCATGATCATTGATGCCCCACGAGGTGAGATCTTGCATGGAGCCCCAGACCGAGTGTGATTGACCGTCATCTTGAACTTCTTCCATTTTCTAATAATTGCGCCAACAGTTGTTGCCTTCTCACCAAGCTGCTTGCCTATTGTCCTGTAGCCCATCCCAGCCTTGTGCAGGTCTACAATTTTACACAGCTCTCTGGTCTTGGCCATTGTGGAGAGGTTGGAGTCTGTTTGATTGAGTGTGTGAACAGGTGTCTTTTATACAGGTAACGAGTTCAAACAGGTGCAGTTAATACAGGTAATGAGTGGAGAACAGGAGGGCTTCTTAAAGAAAAACCAACAGGTCTGTGAGAGCTGGAATTCTTACTAGTTGGAAGGTGATCAAATACTTATGTCATGCAATAAAATGCAAATTAATTACTTAAAAATCATACAATATGATTTTCTGGATTTTTGTTTTAGATTCCGTCTCTCACGGTTGAAGTGTACCTATGATAAAAAATTACAGACCTCTACATGCTTTGTAAGTAGGAAAACCTGCAAAATCGGCAGTGTATCAAATACTTGTTCTCCCCACTGTATATATTTTTGCATTTACATTTTAGTCATTTAGCAGACGCTCTTATCCAGAGCGACTTACAGTTAGTGAGTACATACATTTTCATACTGGCCCCCAGTGGGAATCGAACCCACAACCCTGGCATTGCAAACGCCATGCTCTACCAACTCAGCTACACGGGACCAAATAATTAGTGCCTAGTTAACATTTCTTTTACATTTTAGTCATTTAGCAGACGCTCTTATCCAGAGCGACTTAAAGTTAGTGAGTGCATACATTTTCATACTGGCCCCCCGTGGGAAACGAACCCACAACACTGGCGTTGCAAGCGCCATGCTCTACAAACTGAGCTAAAGGGGACGGTGACAACACCTACTCTGAGGCTATGATGTCTGTGAACTCATGTTAAGTCTAAATCAAACTACTTTTGTACTGTCACTTTAACTCTTTGCTGACTGGCTAATTCAGGACTATATCAAAATGACAAGTCAATAAATTAACTATTTTAGCTTTCTCTTTGTTTGCTTCAAGTGTGAAATAAAACGCCATTCCATACCAGACCCACTAGGCACAGATGTCTATTCCACATTGGTTCAATGTAATTTTATTGAAATGACGTGGAAACAACATTGATTAAAACAGTGTGCCCAGTGGGGACTTGCACTCTTGGCTTGCCCTATTATGTGGGTGCCAAATTGTGACTATTAGTAGGTGATTAGGTGAGAAGTTAACTGCACAGCCCAAGGCCAGCCTTATGTATACATCAACACCTCCACCATTGGCATTTCTATCTTTTCTGTAAATGTTAGAACCTTGTATTGCTACCACTGTATCATCAAATGTATTATCTAAGTGAGTTTCAGAGATAGTCAGAATATGAATGTTATCTGTTACTAGCAACTTATTGATTTCATTAACCTTGTTTCTTAAGCCACATATGTTAACGTGGGCTATTTTGAGCACTTTTCTTCTGGGATGCTTACTTGTTTTTATTGCTTTACTGGGTGTACCTTTATAACCAAGCTCAACTGTCCTACAGACCAGAATAAATATACAATATATTAGACTATGAAGTATTAGACATACAGTAGGTAATAGACAGACAGTAGCTTACCTTATATCTCCTTGACAGCCTTCTATTTCCAGGGTAATTTCTGGAAAATAATGTGAAACTCATATGATATAGAATTCCATATTATATTATATCATATTTAGTAATTATATCATATTATATCATATCATATTATATTATAATACATTATATCATATTATATTATATTAATTATATATTATAATATATCATACATCATATTATATTATACTATATCATATTATAACATTATATTTATTATATTATATCATATTATATTTATTATATTATATTATATTATATTTATTATATTATATCAGATTATTTTATATCATATTATCATATATTTATTTTACCCTTATTTGAACAGGGAGTCCCATTGACACCAATATCTCTTTAGAATAGAATACACCCACTTCAGTAATCCAGAGGTAAAATGTGTTGATGTACAGTGGGGGAAAAAGGATTTAGTCAGCCACCAATTGTGCAAGTTCTCCCACTTAAAAAGATGAGAGAGGCCTGTAATATTCATCATAGGTACACGTCAACTATGACAGACAAATTGAGAATTTTTTTTTCAGAAAATCACATTGTAGGATTTTTTATGAATTTATTTGCAAATTATGGTGGAAAATAAGTATTTGGTCACCTACGAACAAGCAAGATTTGTGGCTCTCACAGACCTGTAACTTCTTCTTTAAGAGGCTCTTCTGTCCTCCACTCGTTACCTGTATTAATGGCACCTGTTTGAACTTGTTATCAGTATAAAATACACCTGTCCACAACCTCAAACAGTCACACTCCAAACCACTATGGCCAAGACCAAAGAGCTGTCAAAGGACACCAGAAACAAAATTGTAGACCTGCACCAGGCTGGGAAGACTGAATCTGCAATAGGTAAGCAGCTTGGTTTGAAGAAATCAACTGTGGGAGCAATTATTAGGAAATGGAAGACATACAAGACCACTGATAATCTCCCTCGATCTGGGGCTCCACGCAAGATCTCACCCCGTGGGGTCAAAATGATCACAAGAACGGTGAGCAAAAATCCCAGAACCACACAGGGGGACCTAGTGAATGACCTGCAGAGAGCTGGGACCAAAGTAACAAAGCCTACCATCAGTAACACACTACGCCGCCAGGGACTCAAATCCTGCAGTGCCAGACGTGTCCCCCTGCTTAAGCCAGTACATGTCCAGGCCCATCTGAAGTTTGCTAGAGTGCATTTGGATGATCCAGAAGAGGATTGGGAGAATGTCATATGGTCAGATGAAACCAAAATATAACTTTTTGGTAAAAACTCAACTCGTCGTGTTTGGAGGACAAAGAATGCTGAGTTGCATCCAAAGAACACCATACCTACTGTGAAGCATGGGGGTGGAAACATCATGCTTTGGGGCTGTTTTTCTGCAAAGGGACCAGGACGACTGATCCGTGTAAAGGAAAGAATGAATGGGGCCATGTATCGTGAGATTTTGAGTGAAAACCTCCTTCCATCAGCAAGGGCATTGAAGATGAAACGTGGCTGGGTCTTTCAGCATGACAATGATCCCAAACACACCGCCCGGGCAACAAAGGAGTGGCTTCGTAAGAAGCATTTCAAGGTCCTGGAGTGGCCTAGCCAGTCTCCAGATCTCAACCCCATAGAAAATCTTTGGAGGGAGTTGAAAGTCTGTGTTGCCCAGCGACAGCCCCAAAACATCACTGCTCTAGAGGAGATCTGCATGGAGGAATGGGCCAAAATACCAGCAACAGTGTGTGAAAACCTTGTGAAGACTTACAGAAAACGTTTGACCTGTGTCATTGCCAATAAAGGGTATATAACAAAGTACTGAGAAACTTTTGTTATTGACCAAATACTCATTTTCCACCATAATTTGCAAATAAATTCATTAAAAATCCTACAATGTGATTTTCTGGATTTTTTTTTCTCATTTTGTCTGTCATAGTTGACGTGTACCTATGATGAAAATTACAGGCCTCTCTTATCTTTTTAAGTGGGAGAACTTGCACAATTGGTGGCTGACTAAATACTTTTTTCCCCCACTGTATGTGACCAATAACATTTGATTTGATTAGACACATGCACACACACACACAGACACACACACACACACACACACACACACACACACACACACACACACACACACACACACACTCAGAGAAACAAAAATAAGTCATCCCCATTCCTAGCTGATTACATTCAAATGGCTTCACCACCACAAAACATGCAAAACACAATTTCATAACAGCAAGAATATTTTCCACGCTGGGGGCGCGTAGATAGCTGCCTCCTCTCCTGATGCAAGGCCTGTTAGAACTGTGCAGGGCAGAACCCGGGAGGCCCCACATCTGTTTTCCATAATTCCAAACTACTGTCCAGAGTGCTCAACATGTTGGAAGTCAATGTGCATGCAGACACTGTGTCTCTGCTCCACAGCTATCAGCATAACAACCACCCCCAAAATAGTAACAGCCAATCAAGTACAGTATATAAATTCATCAACCAATCAATTGGCCAGTTATAATAAGCCATCCATTGGTTGAAAAAGTCAATCACTACCTAAGGCCATACAAATGTTATTAAATGTTTAACAGCTTGTGAGGATTAAAAAAATAAAAAATAAAAAGCTAATTAAAAATGGTAATAAAAAAGTAGATCTTCTTGTTAAATTACAATAGCAACCTTAGTTCAACACCTACACTCTTAGAAAAAAAGGTGCTATCTAGAACCTAAAAGGGTTATTCAGCTATCCCCATAGGAGAATCCTTTTGGATCCCTTTTTAATAAGAGTGGTGACTTAATCAAGAGCTTCTAGCCTCTTGGGGAGGCTTAAAGGGGCATAGTTCATCCATAATCCGAGAGGAGGGAGAAGTCAAGTGCGATTGTTAGTTCACAAAAGCCTTTTTGTCTTGTCTGCCTATAAGCTGTTTGTTCTATTTTCAGATTATCTAACAATCTCTGTACTATGATAGTTCCATCCATACCTCTCAGAGGCTTTAGGAACCAACAGCTGCACGTAGGGAAGCTTCTTGAACCTCTCCGCTCCCACAGCCACGTAGTACTGGCCACTCACCAGTTCGTCTGCACTGGACACAGTTACACCATCTAGAGTGCACAACCTGAGAGGTCACGGGGTCAGGGGTCACTAATGGGGTCAGAGAGACTGTCATCTGTGTACCTGAGGGCACTGAGGGGCCGTTAGGCTGGCATTATATAGGTCAAACATGCTGTGTGAGGGTGTGTGTGTGTGTGTATGTCTATAAGCATGTGTGAGTCTGTGTATGTGTATGTATCTGACCTGCGCACGGCTCCAGTGCGTAAACTGGCCTTCTCTGTGACTAGACCGAGGATCTGATCCAGGTCGTGCTGCCAGGTCCTGGGAATTATGAAACGGAATGGCGAGCAGCGAAGATCTTCGTTGCGGAAAACACTGTAAAGGAACACACAAATAAGTTGTGTGTTTCTATATGTGTGTAGTATTTGAGATGATGAATGGGAGAGTGCGTTAATTGGGACATTTACTGTATGATACAGGGTAGAAGAATATACTTTCTCCATTTTGCTGACACATTTGGTCTGTGAAGTAATCTTGCCTAGGAAAGAAAGACACAACATTACAAAAGAATACAGCACTGTAGTTTTAGATAGATTTGCCGGTCAGAATCAAATACAAGAAAGAAAAATCACTTCCTCTGATCAGTGAATGCCAAATTAAACCATGTGATGAAACATTGATATAAACTACGCCATTTGATATAATTTACCAAAACAAAGTAAATACCAATTGTATTAATTTCAGAACAGAACATCCACAGACATTTCACAATAAGCGGTTATGACCTATTATTATTATTGCTTGTCAGTCAGAGGGCTGTGTCCATGGCAACACACATCATCATGCTGGCCAATAACGTATCTACATAACTCATCTACATAGACCGATTGAGTGCTCCACTTCATTGAATACCTAAACTGTATATAGCCACTCTGTCCCCTAAACTGTCCCTGACCTTTCTATTGTGTCCAGAGTCTATGAAGTCAAGCCCTATGAAGTCAAGCCCTATGAAGTCAAGCCCTATTAATAAGTCAAGCCCTATTAACATTTACATTTTAGTCATTTAGCAGACGCTCTTATCCAGAGCGACTTACAGTTAGTGAGTGCAGACATTTTTATTTATTTTTTCATACTGGAATCGAACCCACAACCCTGGCGTTGCAAACGCCGTGCTCTACCAACTGAGCTACATCCCTGCCGGCCATTCCCTCCCCCCTCCCTGGACGACGCTGGGCCAATTGTGCGCCGCCCCATGGGTCATTAAAGTCAAGCCCTAGGAAGTCAAGCCCTAGGAAATCAAGCCCTATGAAGTCAAGCCCTATGAAGTCAAGCCCTATGAAGTCAAGCCCTATTTAAAGAAAAACTCAAGCCCTATTAAGTCAAGCCCTATGAAGTCAAGCTCTATTAAGTCAAGACCTCTGAAGTCAAGCCCTATGAAGTCAGGCCCTATGAACTCAAGCCCCATGAAGTCAAGCCCTATGAAGTCAAGCCCTATTAATATCACTCATTGTGTCTGACCACATAATATAACTATAAATCAATACTTCAAACAAAACCCATCCACAGCTAGATAATAAATGTTTCTACAATGTTTCACAATGTTTCCACTTTGAAGTGTTACTATGCAACATTGTTGTTGTATTTAAACAGAGTAGTAGGCATGGGGCTGCCAGCGAGGGGCTGGGTATGCTGGGAATTAGGCCTGCCCAGGCATGTTCAGAGCCCTGATAACACAGGATGGGGCCACTGTATGGCTTAATTCTTTAAACAGAGTTACCCAGCTAACAATTCTAGGGAGAGAGAATGTTTTTGTTTTGTTACCCGTAATGTTCCCCATATGTTTGAGTGTCCAGTTTTCGGTTAGTTAAGGGAACATGTTATGTATGTTATCAAAAACCTCCTGAGAACCTATTTAGCATTATTTGAAGTTAGGTAAATCTCAGCTCTGTTAAAAGTACACTCAAGAAAAACTATTTTATTGATCATATTGATTCAGGAGTAACATTAAAACAGGATTATATGCCCCACCAACATTAGACAACTATACAAAAAGCCCTAAAATTGCTGAAATAAGTCAGTCAAATCAATGATGAGAGAATAGTCCGATTAATAACTGATAACTGACACAGACGTGGTGCAGCAGGAAGATCGAAATGCTGTGAATCAAGAGGTTGTGATTTCAAATCCCAGCGGAGGACATGTTGAATAATAATGACTGTATAAATGAACATGCACAATGTAATCACGTATGTCAAAGTGTGTCAAATATGTAAGTTGAAAACACTATGTTAAAAGCATTGTTTGTGTGAGTGTCCCTAACCTTGCCAACAAAGAGCTGTGAATGGATCAGTAGTTCACCAATCAGAGCCTTGATGGGCTCGGCCACAGTACAAGGGGTGATGTGTATTGACGAAACCATTTTTGGAGAACGTTTCTTTGGGACCATCAGACAACGTCCTGACGACTGATACACAGGAACGTTCTTGCAACGTTCCCATGAAACGTGTCTAGAACATTAATATCTCATATTCTGAGAACATGGCAACCAAGTTCTGTGTATGTTTGGTGGGTCGTTGATGGAATATTCTTCAAACCCTTAGAAACCTGGACACAGGAATGTTCTTGCAACCAAGGTGTGAATTACGGGGGAGCAACATAAGTCAAACTATGGGGGGGTCTCTAAATAATGCTAATTTAACCATTCTCCTATTTTAAAATGTAGTGGTAAATATGCTTTACAGCGGTAAATATGAAAATAAAAGCTTCCAAATGAAATGAACACCCTCACCTTAATCATCCTAAGATAGCTAGCTGGGACAACCACATATCACAGGCATAGTAAGTACACAATTCCTCAATAAAGGACTGTAGCTATCAGCAAAGTCAAAACTAGAAGGGGGGGGGGGGGGGGGTGAACATGTACAGGTAGCCTACTTTTTGAAGTGATTTGTTTGACAATTGGATGAAAATATCATGACAGGTTATGTTCATGCCACATTAAAAGGTAATTCATTTTTCCCGTTTAAATTACGTCTTTATTATTAGGCCTATAAATAGTTTTTGTGCACTCGATAGAGACCCCGCCCTCCCCCACCGAATGTCATGGTGTAATTCGCACTCTACTTGCAATGTTCCGATGAAACGTATCAATACATAGCATTAGTAATTCAGGGTTTGTATATGTCATTGGTGCCGACTCAGTAGCGTCGAACCTACCGATTCTACTTGTAGAATTGCAATGCTCGTCAGTGGCCAACAACTTGGATTTTGAGCCAATCAGAGAGCACGAATCCCCACATGGGGAGACAAAAAAATTAATAAAAAAAATCTCCGTACATCCACGGATGAGCCAGTCACACTTCATTTGGCAATGTAGGCTATGGGATGGTAGCTAGCTAAGTGCAGAGATGCAATGCACACAACACTAAATACTTCCGAGCTAAAGGCTAGCTAAAGGCTAGAGCTGCCACTTTCAAGGAGTGGGACACAAATCCTGCTATGCCCTCAGACAAACCATCAAACAGGCAAAGCGTCAATTCAGGACTAAGATTGAATCCTACTACACCGGCTCTGACGCTCGTCGGATGTGGCAGGGATTGCAAACTATTATGGACTACAAAGGGAAACCCAGCCGCAAGCTTCCCAGTGACGAGAGCCTACCAGACGAGCTAAATGCCTTTTATACTCGCTTTGAGGCAAAAAACACTGAAGCATGCATGAGAGCACCAGCTGTTACGGGCGACTGTGTGATCACGCTCTCCGTAGCCCATATGAGCAAGACCATTAAACAGGTCAACATTCATAAGGCCGCGGGCCAGACAGATTACCAGGACTTGTACTCAGAGCATGTACGGACCAACTGGCAAGTGTCTTCACTGACATTTTCAACCTCTCCCTGACCGAGTCTGAAATACCTACATGTTTCAAGCAGACCACCATAGTCCCTGTGCCCAAGAAAGCGAAGGTAACCTGCCTAAATGACTACCGGCCCATAGCACTCACGTCGGTAGCCATGAAGTGCTTTGAAAGGCTGGTCATGGCTCACATCAACACCATCATCCCGGAAACCCTAGACCCACTCCAATTCGCATACCGCCCAAACAGATCCACACATGACGCAATCTCAATCGCACTCCACACGGCCCTTTCCCACCTGGACAAAAGGAACACCTACAGTAACAGTCAAAAGTTTGTACACACCTACTCATTCAAGGGTTTTTCTTTATTTTTACTATTTTCTACATTGTAGAATAATAGTGAAGACATCAAAACTATGAAATAACACATTTGGAATCATGTACTAATCAAAAAAGTGTTAAACAAATCAACAAATATTTGAGATTTGAGATTCTTCAAAGTAGCCGTGCTTTGCCTTGATGACAGCTTTGCACACTCTTGGCATTCTCTCAACCAGCTTCATGAGGTAGTCACCTGGAATTCATTTCAATTAACAGGTGTGCCTTGTTAAAAATGTATTTGTGGAATTTCTTTCCTTCTTTCCTGTTGTGACAAGGTAGGGGTGGTATACAGAAGATAGGCCTATTTGGTAAAAGACCAAGTCCATTTTATGGCAAGAACAGCTAGCTCAAATAAGCAAAGAGAAATGACAGTTTTTCATTACTTTAAGACATGAAGGTCAGTCAATCTGGAAAATTTCAAGAACTTTGAAAGTTTCTTCAAGTGCAGTCGCAAAAACCATCAAGTGCTATGATGAAGCTGGCTCTCATGAGGACCGCCACAGGAAAGGAAGACCCAGAGTTACCTCTGCAGCAGAGGATAAGTTCATTAGAGTTACCAGCCTCAGAAATTGCAGCCCAAATAAATGCTTCACAGAGTTCAAGTAACAGACACATCTCAACATTAACTGTTCAGAGGAGACTGAGTGAATCAGGCCTTCATGGTCGAATTGCAGGAAAGAAACCACCAATAAAGGACACCAATAAGAAGAGGAGACTTGCTTGGGCCAAGAAACCCGAGTAATGGACATTAGACCGGTGGAAATCTGTCCTTTGGTCTGATGAGTCCAAATGTGAGATTTTTGGTGCCAACTGCCGTGTCTTTGTGAGACGCAGAGTAGGTGAACGGATGATCTCCGCATGTGTGGTTCCCAACGTGAAGCATGGAGGAGGAGGTGTGATGGTGTGGGGGTGCTTTGCTGGTGACCCTGTCTGTGATTTATTTAGAATTCAAGGCTCACTTAACCAGCATGGCTACCACAGCATTCTGCAGCGATACGCCATTCCATCTGGTTTGCGCTTAGTGGGACTATCATTTGTTTTCAACAGGATAATGACTCAACACACCTCCATGCTGTGTAAGGGCTATTTGACCAAGAAGGAGAGTGATGGAGTGCTGCATCAGATGACCTGGCCCCCACAATCACCTGACCTCAACCCAATTGAGATGGTTTGTGATGAGTTGGACCGCAGAGTGAAGGAAAAGCAGCCAACAAGTGCTCAGCATATGTGGGAACTCCTTCAAGACTGTTGGAAAAGCATTCCAGGTGAATCTGGTTGAGAGAATGGCAAGAGTGTGCAAAGCTGTCATCAAGGCAAAGGGTGGCTACTTTGAAGAACCTAAAATCCACAATATATTTTGATTTGTTTAACACTTTTTTGGTTACTACATGATTCCATATCTGTTATTTCATAGTTTTGATGTCTTCACTATTATTCTACAATGTAGAATGAGTAGGTGTGTCCAAACATGTGACTGGTACTGTAAAGTGAGGGAAAAAAGTATTTGATCCCCTGCTGATTTTGTACGTTTGCCCACTGACAAAGAAATGATCAGTCTATCATTTTAATGTTAGGTTTATTTGAACAGTGAGAGACAGAATAACAACAAAAAAATCCAGAAAAACGCATGTAAAAAATGTTATAAATTGATTTGCATTTTAATGAGGGAAATAAGTATTTGACCCCCTCTCAATCAGAAAGATTTCTGGCTCCCAGGTGTCTTTTATACAGGTAACGAGCTGAGATTAGGAGCACACTCTTAAAGGGAGTGCTCCTAATCTCAACTTGTTACCTGTATAAAAGACACCTGTCCACAGAAGCAATCAATCAATCAGATTCCAAACTCTCCACCATGGCCAAGACCAAAGAGCTCTCCAAGGATGTCAGGGACAAGATTGTAGACCTACACAAGGCTGGAATGCGCTACAAGACCATCGCCAAGCAGCTTGGTGAGAAGGTGACAACAGTTGCTGCGATTATTCGCAAATGGAGAGAAACACAAAATAACTGTCAATTTCCCTCGGCCTGGGGATCCATGCAAGATCTCACCTCGTGGAGTTGCAATGATCATGAGAACGGTGAGGAATCAGCCCAGAACTACACATGAGGATCTTGTCAATGATCTCAAGGCAGCTGGGACCATAGTCACCAAGAAAACAATTGGTAACACACTACGCCGTGAAGGACTGAAATCCTGCAGCGCCCGCAAGGTCCCCCTGCTCAAGAAAGCACATATACAGGCCGTCTGAAGTTTGCCAATGAACATCTGAATGATTCAGAGGAGAACTGGGTGAAAGTGTTGTTGTCAGATGAGACCAAAATGGAGCTCTTTGGCATCAACTCAACTCGCCGTGTTTGGAGGAGGAGGAATGCTGCCTATGACCCCAAAAACACCATCCCCACCGTCAAACATGGAGGTGGAAACATTATGCTTTGGGGGTGTTTTTCTGCTAAGGGGACAGGACAACTTCACCGCATCAAAGGGACGATGGACGTGGCCATGTACCGTCAAATCTTGGGTGAGAACCTCCTTCCCTCAGCCAGGGCATTGAAAATGGGTCGTGGATGGGTATTCCAGCATGACAATGACCCAAAACACACAGCCAAGGCAACAAAGGAGTGGCTCAAGAAGAAGCACATTAAGGTCCTGGAGTGGCCTAGCCAGTCTCCAGACCTTAATCCCATAGAAAATCTGTGGAGGGAGCTGAAGGTTCGAGTTGCCAAACGTCAGCCTCGAAACCTTAATGACTTGAAGAAGATCTGCAAAGAGGAGTGGGACAAAATCCCTCCTGAGATGTGTGCAAACCTGGTGTCCAACTACAAGAAACGTCTGACCTCTGTGATTGCCAACAAGGGTTTTGCCACCAAGTACTAAGTCATGTTTTGCAGAGGGGTCAAATACTTATCAAAACTTACAAATCAATTTATAACATTTTTGACATGCGTTTTTCTGGATTTCTTTGTTGTTATTCTGTTTCTCACTGTTCAAATAAACCTACCATTAAAATTATAGACTGATCATTTCTTTGTCAGTGGGCAAACGTACAAAATCAGCAGGGGATCAAATACTTTTTTCCCTCACTGTATGTGAGAATGCTGTTCATTGACTACAGCTCAGCGTTCAACACCAAAGTGCCCACAAAGCTCATCACTAAGCTAAGGACCCTGGGACTAAACACCGCCCTCTGCAACTGGATCCTGGACTTCCTGACGGGCCACCCTCAGGTGGTAAGGGTAGGTAACAACACATCTGCCACGCTGATCGTCAACACTGGGGCCCCTCAGGGGTGCGTGCTTAGTCCCCTCCTGTACTCCCTGTTCACCCACGTCTGCGTGGCCAAGCATGACTCCAACACCATCATTAAGTTTGCTGATGACACAACAGTGGTAGGCCTGATCACTGACAACGATGAGACAGCCTATAGCAGGGGTGTCAAACGTACGGCCCGCGGGCCGGATCAGGCCCGCAAACGGGTTTAATCCGGCCCGCGAGATGATAAAAAAAAAAAAAAAAGTAAAGTATAAAAATGAGCTGCAATTTTTCTATAAAATAAACTGCTGTTCCAATTGCGTCCACTGGATGACGCAATAGCAATTGTGTTAAGCAAGCAAACTGTTTATACCGGGGCAGAGCAAGTAGGTCAAGCACGTGCAGCCAATGAGCTACTTTGTTTTGCCCGCAATATTTATTACGGCTTCTACTTTTAACATTATGTGCTTTGGCACCCTCATTGCCCCAATATGTCTCTGTCAAAAAAGAGAAAAGTGGACGCAGAGTGCAGAGTGTTCCAAGAAAAATGGTCATCCTATTTAATCACGGAATTGAATGGGAAAGCTGTATGTTTGGTGTGTTCAGAGCATGTTGCAGTGCTGAAAGAATATAACCTTCGTCGCCACTATGTGAGTGTTCATGCCGACAAATATGACAACTTTCAAGGACAGCGGAGATGAGAGAAGGTGAATGAACTGTTGGCGGGTCTGAAGAAACAGCAGTCTGTGTTTACTCACAGCCGAGACATCAGTGACGCTGCAGTGAAAGCTAGCTACCTCATTGCTAATGAAATCGCAGTGGCTTCAAAACCATTTAGTGAGGGTGAATTTGTAAAAACATGCATGATGAAGGCAGCGGAGATTGTGTGCCCTGAAAAGCGGCAGGCTTTTGCAAATATCAGCCTGACAAGAAACACAGTTGCAGACAGGATTTCCGATCTTTCAGTGGATTTGGACAGCCAGTTGAAGCAAAAAGTAAAGTCATTTATTGCGTTTTCGGTTGCAATTGATGAAAGCACGGACATTACAGATGTTGCACAACTGGCCATTTTTTCATCCGCGGAGTTGATGACACATTGACCGTCACCGAGGAGATCGTGGAGTTGGTGCCGATGACAGATACAACGACAGCAGCTGATATTTTTACCGCACTCGTCGGCGCGCTGGACAGGGTCGGAGTGGACTGGTCCCGCGCTGTCAGCCTGGCTACAGATGGTGCGCCCTCAATGATCGGGAAAAAGCAGGCGTTGTGACAAAGTTCAGAGAGAAAGTGCAATCTGCAAATGGAGGACGTGATTTTTTGACTTTTCACTGTATTTTGCACCAGGAGGCTTTGTGTTGCAAGTCATTAAAGATGGATAACGTTATGAAGGTGGTCATCCAAACTGTTAATTTCATCCGATCCAGAAGCCTGAATCACCGTCAGTTTGACAGCCTTCTCAGAGAGAAAGACCACATCTATGGCCTGCCATACCACACTGAGGTAAGATGGTTAAGCCGAGGTGCTGTGCTGAGGCGTTTCTTTGATTTACGAGAAGAAATTGAACAGTTCATGGAAGAAAAGGGCAAACCAGTGTTAGAATTTCATTCCGCAGAATGGATGCCGGACCTTGCATTTATGGTGGATGTTACAGAGCACCTGAATAACTTGAACAAACAGCTGCAAGGGCGCAACAAAGTTGTCACGCAGTATTATGACAGCATACGTTCTTTCAAGTTGAAGCTGTCATTGTGGGAGACGCAACTTGCCGGTGGTGATGCAGCTCACTTCCCCTGTCTGAAAAATGTGTGTGCGACCCAACATGTGGCAGACATGAAGCGGTTCAAATATAAAATAACGGGACTGTTACGGGAGTTTGAGCAACGCTTTCAGATTTATGTTTATATGTTTTTATGTTGATGTGCTATTGTTTTTAATTGATTTTATTTTATTTGTATATTTAACCTATTCTTGACTCTGTGGTTCTTGCACTTGTTTGGGGAACAGGATTTCATTATTTTTATCTACATTTCTGCCTGAGAAATGACACCCTGATATAGTTCTGTGATCTGTGAAACAGTTCTGTTAATCACTGAGGCATTGTGTGTTTGTGTGTTCTTTTTCTTTAGAATTTTCAAATAAACTTGACGTGTTTTATGATTAATAGTGATGTTGTGCTTGTACTATTTTGGACACACTGTCCTCAGGCTCCAGCTTTATGTTGTATGTTGATCGTATTAAAACAAAGAAAACAATCTGAAGTTGTTGTTTTTAAGTTATATATACCATGATTTTTCCGGTCCGGCCCACATGGGAATAGATTTTCCTCCATGTGGCCCCTGAGCTAAAATGAGTTTGACACCCCTGGCCTATAGGGAGGAAGTCAGAGACCTGGCAGTGTGGTGCCAGGACAACAACCTCTCCCTCAATGTGAGCAAGACAAAGGAGCTGATCGTGGACTACAGGAAAAGGAGGGCTGAACAGGCCCCCATTAACATCGACAGGGCTGTAGTGGAGCGGGTCGAGAGTTTCAAGTTCCTTGGTGTCCACATCACCAACAAACTATCATGGTCCAAACACACCAAGACAGTCGTGATGAGGGCACGACAACACCTTTTCCCCCTCAGGAGACTGAAAAGATTTGGCATGGGTCCCCAGATCCTCAAAAAGTTCTACAGCTGCACCATCGAGAGCATCCTGACCGGTTGCATCACCGCCTGGTATGGCAACTGCTCGGCATCCGACCATAAGGATCTACAGAGGGTAGTGCGTACGGCCCAGTACATCACTGGGGCCAAGCTTCCTGCCATCCAGGACCTATATACTAGGCGGTGTCAGAGGAAGGCCCAGAAAATTGTCAAAGACTCCAGTCACCCAAGTCATAGACTGTTCTCTCTGCTACCACACAGCAAGCGGTACCGGAACGCCAAGTCTAGGTCCAAAAGGCTCTTTACCAGCTTCTACCCCCAAGCCATAAGACTGCTGAACAATTAATCTATTTGAGCCCCACTTTGTTTTTACACTGCTGCTACTCGCTGTTTATTATCTATGCATAGTTAGCATTTCAAAATCGAAATGATATTGCTCTGAATCAGTACACGCTCCACAGCTGAAAATGAAATACATTAATCTCTATCCATCCAGCCAGCCATTTGGGCTGAATACAAAGCAAGCACTTTCCATTGTGCGAACAGCTATTGAGACGGTGCGCTTGAAATGGGTTTAAATGTGTATGACCTCATCAATACAATATCTATCCTTCTTATATGAATCTATCCGATGATGAAGAGAGATCTATTGAAATGGGCCAAGAATGACCTAAGCCAGTGTAAGACAGCTCGAATACGGTACAGAACATTGATCTGTTATTGATTTGTGGTCTACATGCTCTGTGAGTTTGTGTTGGTGCTGAGGACCATTATTTACAGATTACATGTATCCAAAAATCAATGCTATGCTACTGCTTTGGTCTATCATGCTTTGGTCTACCACAGTGTCCAGTATTATGACATGCAAAGCACATCCAAAACCACAAGTCCCCTGTAGCTCAGTTGGTAAAGCATGGCGCTTGCAACGCCAGGGTTGTGGGTTCGTTTCTCACAGGGGGGCAGTATGAAAATGTATGCACACACTAACTGTAAGTCGCTCTGGATAAGAGCGTCTGCTAAATGACATAAATGTAAAATTTAATCACAATGAATCTGAAGTGTGGTCAAATAAATACTCAAATACAGTGGGGAAAAAAAGTATTTAGTCAGCCACCAATTGTGCAAGTTCTCCCACTTAAAAAGATGAGAGAGGCCTGTAATTTTCATCATAGGTACACATCAACTATGACAGACAAAATGAGGAAAAAAAATCTAGAAAATCACATTGTAGGATTTTTAATGAATTTATATGCAAATTATGGTGGAAAATAAGTATTTGGTCAATAACAAAAGTTTCTCAATACTTTGTTATATACCCTTTGTTGGCAATGACACAGGTCAAACATTTTCTGTAAGTCTTCACAAGGTTTTCACACACTGTTAATGGTATTTTGGCCCATTCCTCCATGCAGATCTCCTCTAGAGCAGTGATGTTTTGGGGCTGTCGCTGGGCAACACAGACTTTCAACTCCCTCCAAAGATTTTCTATGGGGTTGAGATCTGGAGACTGGCTAGGCCACTCCAGGACCTTGAAATGCTTCTTACGAAGCCACTCCATCGTTGCCCGGGCAGTGTGTTTGGGATCATTGTCATGCTGAAAGACCCAGCCACGTTTCATCTTCAATGCCCTTGCTGGTGGAAGGAGGTTTTAACTCAAAATCTCACGATACATGGCCCCATTAATTCTTTCCTTTACACGGATCAGTCGTCCTGGTCCCTTTGCAGAAAAACAGCCCCAAAGCATGATGTTTCCACCCCCATGATTCACAGTAGGTATGGTGTTCTTTGGATGCAACTCAGCATTCTTTGTCCTCCAAACACGACGAGTTGAGTTTTTACCAGAAAGTTATATTTTGGTTTCATCTGACCATATGACATTCTCCCAATCCTCTTCTGGATCATCCAAATGCACTCTAGCAAACTTCAGACGGGCCTGGACATGTACTGGCTTAAGCAGGGGGACACGTCTGGCACTGCAGGATTTTAGTCCCTGGGGGCGTAGTGTGTTACTGATGGTAGGCTTTGTTACTTTGGTCCTAGCTCTCTGCAGGTCATTCACTAGGTCCCCCCGTGTGGTTCTGGGATTTTTGCTCACCGTTCTTGTGATCATTTTGACCCCACGGGGTGAGATCTTGCGTGGAGCCCCAGATCGAGGGAGATTATCAGTGGTCTTATATGTCTTCCATTTCCTAATAATTGCTCCCACAGTTGATTTCTTCAAACCACGCTGCTTACCTGTTGCAGATTCAGTCTTCCCAGCCTGGTGCAGGTCTACAATTTTGTTTCTGGTGTCCTTTGACAGCTCTTTGGTCTTGGCCATAGTGGAGTTTGGAGTGTGACTGTTTGAGGTTGTGGACAGGTGTCTTTTATGCTGATAACAAGTTCAAACAGGTGCCATTAATACAGGTAATGAGTGGAGGACAGAGGAGCCTCTTAAAGAAGAAGTTACAGGTCTGTGAGAGCCAGAAATCTTGCTTGTTTGTAGGTGACCAAATACTTATTTTCCACCATAATTTGCAAATAAATTCATTAAAAATCCTACAATGTGATTTTCTGGAATTTCTTTTCACAATTTGTCTGTCATAGTTGACGTGTACCTATGATGAAAATTACAGGCCTCTCTCATCTTTTTAAGTGGGAGAACTTGCACAAATGGTGGCTGACTAAATACTTTTTTTCCCCACTGTATTACCATCGCTCAGTGAAAGAAAACCTGTTCTCTGTTACAAATGGCACCAGTTCAGATCTACCTGATTTTCAGTGGGTGTGTGTCAGTATAACAGACAGGTTAGATTAATGAGTAACGGACTGTACCATTGACAGAGACAGAAAACCACATTGAAGCTTACCCGAGCTCCTTCCCCCCTGGGTACAGGCAGCTTCTTCAGCCCTGTGTTCAGATAACTGCATGGAAAAAAACAATAGACACGATAAAGGTTCACACGTCATCCTCAGTGAGAGACAGCTTATCCCATTACTGTATGTATTTACATAATGGTTACCATCTACATTTATTAGGGCACACAACAATAAATATCAAAGAAAACATTTTGACAACATCATATCTAGACATTTACACAAACATACATGGTAGACCTGGGAGCAATGCCACTGAACAGCTTACGTTTACTGGGAAATCCTGCCACTTTTCAATCTCATATTCATTAACTCCATCACTACACCAGTGTCTATGTGAAAATGGTGCGTTTCTATGATATATGGTTAAAAATATAAGAATTCTCTGTGATATGATAGGGTAGGATTCAAAGTAAGAAAAACAGTGATTTAAAAAAAACCTGCAACGAGTTTGTAGCCGGGGGGGGGGGGTATTTTCTTGCTCCCCCACGTCACTGCGAACCTTATACTGTTTGAAAATCACTGTTTTCAAAATGGTTTACATTTTGATGATGTCATCGCGTTTTCACATGTGTAGACACTGGTATTGTGCTGGTAAAATTATGTGGAAAGAAAGTGGTGGAATTGCCCTTTTAAGACAATGTCTAATCTAGACAATTCTGCCTGGTAGGCTACTCACTCCAGCTTCTTGAACCTCTCGAAGCCTGCCGCCACGTACTGGGCCCCGTTCTGGAGGTCATGCAGCTCCCTGACCCGGTGACCCTGCCGGGGGGTGTACAGGGTCCTCACGGCCAGCGGAGCCTGGATGCAGTGGGTCACGTCATTGAGAAACACCTCCATGGTGGCAACCTGTCGATGGTTGACCACAAACCTCCTGCCGGAGTAGAAGGGGTCCCCGTTCCTGTAGACCACCACACACTTGACCGGAGGCAGGAGGAGGGTTACTGACCCACTGGAAGCCATTTTTCCAAATACCCTGTCTGCCGTCTCTGGTCCCTGTCTGCAGTCTCTGGTCCCTGTCTGCCGTCTCTGGTCCCTGTCTGCAGTCTCTGGTCCCTGTCTGCCGTCTCTGGTCCCTGTCTGCCGTCTCTGGTCCCTGTCTGCCGTCTCTGGTCCCTGTCTGCAGTCTCTGGTCCCTGTCTGCAGTCTCTGGTCCCTGTCTGCAGTCTCTGGTCCCTGTCTGCAGTCTCTGGTCCCTGTCTGCAGTCTCTGGTCCCTGTCTGCTGTCTCCGGTCCCTGTCTGCTCTGCGTACCACCACCACCACTACCACTCAAACCTTAACCACCTGAGAAGGCTAGAAGAGTGTCGAAATGTTCTAATTAGAAGGTGAGCCCCTTCTGTTGTTGTGTTCTGTGTGGTGGTCTCTCACAGCTCTGGACTCTCCCACTCATGCTCTCTCTCACACACACACTACTCTCTGGCAGCCGAGAGTGTTTCCTGGTTGCCATGGCAGCAGAGCCAGCAGTGACTGCCTTTGTGGGCCAAACCATTAGCAGCAACGAACAACAACAAAAGAGGGAGAGCGAGAGACAGAGAGAGGATGCAAGTGTTGTACGCTGAATAAATAAGATAAACCATGAACCTCCTATGCATCGTTTTTATATATATATCTATTTTTAACTACACCAAAGCCTGTTGAATTCACAACACGTGTAGCCTAATGGCTGCTAGTTCTGTAGTATTTACAGTAAAATCTCAGGGACAACCCTTCTACGATAGAGGTTCATGCTCTGGGAGGGGACAAGAGGGACTGGGAATACCATTTCCATACATCCATTTCAAACAGTCTCCCTTGACCTTGTATGGGTTGTCAGGAAAGCACATGCAGCTTTTGTGTTGTTTTGATAGCCACATTGACAGGAACAGTATGTTGTATAATATAACTGCAATTTTTTAATGATTGTGTTGAGTATGTGGTCTCAATGGTAAAAATGTGCGTGAATCACCTGAGATAAAATGGTTATGGCAGGGAGTTCCCTTGAATCTCTCCCATAACTTATTTGAAAACAATGGAGATCACCATAGTTAAATGCAGTTATGCAGACAACAATTGTAGTTGTGAAGGAACATCATATTTACTGTAGCACCAGTAGCAACAACAGTATTAGTAGTAAAAAAACATAAGCAAATTTAGTCAATGGATACATACAAAAATAAACGTTATTAAATTAATATTTAATTTGACAATGTGTATTTGACAACGTACCAACCGTTTGAGCTAAACAAAAGTTACCAATTGGATAGCTCCATCGCTGACATTTCAAACTAGCTGTGGAGTGAGCTTAATCAATGGAGGCCAGAGAAGGAAAGTGTTAAAAAATCTGGAAAATTGCATCCGTCGGCTAGGCTGGATTCTGTGTCTCAAGTTTTGAGGGAGCGTGCAATTGGCATGATGACTGCAGGAATCTCCATCAGAGCTGTTGCCAGAGAATTTAATGTTAATTTCTCTACCATAAACCGCCTCCAACGTCGTTTTAGAGAATTTGGCAGTACGTCCAACCGGCCTCAGAACCGCAGACCATGTGTATGGAGTCGTGTGGACAAGCGGTTTGCTGATGACAACGTTGTGAACAGAGTGCCCCATGGTGGCAGTGGGGTTATGGTATGGGCAGGCATGAGCTACAGACAACGAACACAACTGCATTTTATCGATGGCAATTTAAATGCACAGAGATACCGTGATGAGATCCCGAGACCCATTGTCGTGCCATTCATCCGCCGCCATCACCTCATGTTTCAGCATGATAATGCACGACCCCATGTCGCAAGGATCTGTACACAATCCTGAACATTTCCCAGTTCCTGCATACTAACCAGACATATCACCCATTGAGCATGTTTGGGATGCTCTGGATCGATGTGTATGACAGCGTGTTCCAGTTCCCGCCAATATCCAGCAAATTCACGCAGCCATTGAACAGGAGTGGGACCACATTCCACAGGCCACAAATAACAGCCTAATCAACTCTATGCGAAGGAGATGTGTCGCGCTTCATGAGGTAAATGGTCTTCACACCAGACACTGACTGTTTTTTTTTAAGGTATCTGTGACCAACAGATGCATATCTGCATTCCCAGTCATGTGAAATCCATAGATTAGGGCCTAATGAATTTATATCAATTGATTGATTTCCTTATATGAACTGTAACTCAGTAAATTGTTGCATGTTGCGTTTATATTTTTGTTCCTAATTCAGCTCATGTCATGCTAATTTTCCTTTTTGCGTCCCGCGGAAACAATTTTGAAGAAAATGACCACAAAATGTAAAATCCTCAAAAGTTGTTACGAGAAACCTACAGAGCTCGGTGCTTAAAAAGAGTCTATTGACGCATTGTGAGTCAATCTAAGTAACATAATTTTAAAAATCCCCATTAAACTCCGTCAGTTTAAGCTAGAGATATCCGCCTGTCGGCCATCCCCCTATGTTTATGTCGGTCTTCCGCATCTGCGTGGAAAGTGGCAGAGCTACAGCGGCAGAGCTACAGCGGCAGAGTTACAGTGGCAGAGTTACAGCGGCAGAGCTACAGCGGCAGAGTTACAGCGGCAGAGCTACAGTGGCAGAGCTACAGCGGCAGAGCTACAGCGGCAGAGCTACAGCGGCAGAGTTAAAGCGGCAGAGCTACAGCGGCAGAGCTACAGCGGCAGAGCTACAGCGGCAGAGTTACAGTGGCAGAGCTACAGAGGCAGAGCTACAGCGGCAGAGCTACAGTGGCAGAGTTACAGCGGAAGAGCTACAGCGGCAGAGCTACAGTGGCAGAGCTACAGCGGCAGAGCTACAGTGGCAGAGTTACAGCGGAAGAGCTACAGCGGCAGAGCTACAGTGGCAGAGCTACAGCGGAATAGCTACAGTGGCAGAGCTACAGAGGCAGAGCTACAGCGGCAGAGCTACAGTGGCAGAGCTACAGCGGCAGAGTTAAAGTGGCAGAGCTACAGCGGCAGAGCTACAGCGGCAGAGTTAAAGTGGCAGAGCTACAGCGGCAGAGTTACAGCGGCAGAGTTACAGCGGCAGAGTTACAGCGGCAGAGCTACAGTGGCAGAGCTACAGTGGCAGAGCTACAGCGCTGTTTGTCAGAGGAGGAGACATCCCGAAAATCGGTCTTCTCACGAAAACATCAGTTTTGCTCTACTAGCAGCAGCTAATGGGGTTCCATAATAAATACAAATACAAATACCCCCAGAAGCCCCACAGGACTCATTTGAAGTCGGTACCGCCGATGTGCCAACTTCTGTCTGTAGTGCCCGAACCGTTTGGGCTACAAACTTATATGACCCCCCCATGATGGTGTTCTCAGTTTTGCTCTAACACCCTCACAAGCAGGGGAGCAACTTTGGTTTTAGAAGTGGGGGGGGACATCCCTTTTTTGGGGGGGGGGGGGGATAAACACTCCAAACAACCCGACCGCTCGGAGGGGTCCGCATGGTCCTAAAGCACACCGTCGCCTCGTTTTGTATCACATTCCAATGATAAAACTGGGGGGGGGGGGGGGGACAAAAATGCAATTTCCCCCCCCACCCCGTTCCCAGTGAAAGTTGCACCCCTGCTCACAAGTGTCATGGGATTTGTCTGAATGTAACCCAGTACCGGTTAATAGTATGGAGGTAGTTTTGTGACAACAAAAAAAAGGGGTTAAATATATGTCCAAAAAATTAAAATATTTCCTGAGACTTCAAAACCTTACTCCTTTTTTTGGGACTGCCTGTGTTTTTGTGGGTTTGTTTTTCAATGTGTTTCTATGAGCTATAGTATTACAGGCCAAATTCAATATTTTATCTCCCCCCAGAAATGTGATACCTACAGGGGTCCTCAAATTCTAAATCAAATAGCTAATTGATCCATCTTAAAGCAATTCCATATGATCTGTTAGAAAAAGGCGCCTCTGAACGATCCAGAACTTAAATAATCATATTTGTCTTGGTAAAATTTATTTTGTAACATAAGGAAGTTAAATTTCATCACCAAAGCGCGTTTTCACCCACTGAGCAGAGTGGGTGGACACCACTGAGGTGGTGGACACCCTACTAGCTTGTCCGGTCCACCCCCCCACAGTCCCTGCTGACAACGCTAACTAACAACAGTAGCTTTGAAGAGGCTTTCCAGCAATATGCACTGCACAGCAAGACAACACATAATATACTACAATAAGCAGAGGAACAATGTTTTTGAAAATGTTGTGATTTATCTAGCTAGCTAACTAGCTGGTTAAAAATCTAGCTTAGCTAGCTGCTTTTACCTGAAAACGTGTGAACGTCAACATTGGCCATTAACATAGCAAAATTTGAACAAAGGTTTTCTTCATTTTCCAGTGTCCCAGCCACATGAACTGAAAACTAAAAATGGAAACGCATCTGTATTAGCAAAACATTAAAACCTAAATGTTTTTCAGTAACTATTTAAAGCCATTATTAGGCCTACCCGCAACCCCGGAATTCCTTATTGCGACCCAGGAAGTACAATTTTCGGAATGCCACCGCTGTCTCCACATGCTTCTTGCTAGAAATCAACACCACAAGTGAAAATGAGTGGTACAAATCAAATGACTTTGTTCCAGATTTGGGGTGCGTCAGTTCCGCAAAAGGTTAGTGAAATGAATAATGTACGTTTGTCGGGGCGGCGAAAAACAAACTCAAACTGCAGCACGGCATTCACAGGCAAGAGTCAGAGGATAATGACATAACTTTGCCACCCCTGCCGCCCCGTAACTCATTGTGGGGTTAATTTGGTCGGGGGTCCACAACTAACAGTGAGGTGAGAGGCTGCTGATGATGAAGATCATTATGTTTTAATGGTAGTTACTGTTTATGAGGCTGAGAAGTCTTTGCAAATTGATGTAACTTTTGGACAACAACATACACCAACTATTGAGAACACTAATAGCCTCACACAGACAACCTCAAGTGGAACAACATATTACAATGACTTCCCAGGCCTTTGCAGCTCCTCAGCAAAGGTAACATTTCATACTAATTTGAGTGTCCCGAATTTACCTTTACTATGTTACGTCTAGTCTATGAGACCAGGCTGAGTTGAAAAATGTTTGAACAGGGGCCAAGGTTAGGACATAAGACATGTTTGAACAGTGCCATGGTAAGGCTATAAAACATGTCTTCTCTGACATTTCCATTCCTTGTCCGCCACGCAGCGCCCAGCCACTGCAGAGGCGGGCTCTATGGAGGTCCAGGCACATCTTCTTCTTCACTCCTCAGGTGTTGAATGACCTGTCTCGAGACACCTTCCCCGCACTGCAGGTCAAATGTGTGGTGCTTGACGAGGCT